GACCCACCACCCGCAGGAGGAACATGAAGGGTCCGGTGCAATGTGAATCGGGTGGCAGACCAAGGCGGGAGCCTTGGCGGTCCAATCCCCGGACAAGAAAACTAGTTTTTTAGCTTCTGATATATGAATGAAAATGCACGGTGAAACTCTAGGATTTAAAAAGCCTGACAGCGTGACATCACACGGTTACTTAACATTTGTGGACTCACCCATCATGAGTTGCGAAGAGGAAGACTGTTGTTCCAGCAATCCAATAATTGGCAGACAACTTCTCGACTAATAGAAGTTAACCGTTAGCATTAGCAACTTCACCACACAGCAGAAGCTCCTCCAGGCTGAGCACGACTTACAAGGCATTCGTTCCAAATATAGACCTCTGCAAATGTATTGATTAAATGAGTTTTCCACACCTTTAAGCTTTAAATGAAAGTACTTCCCATGGACAAAGGAAGACTATCTTTATTAAATCAAAAGTGAATTGTTACAACCCCTGCTACTGGAAGAAAACAAAGAACCCATCCTCTTAGGGGACTGCTGTGCCAGTGCAACCAGCTGACTGGCTGCTTCAGATGTTTCTGCCGACGCCCTTCTGCTTTATTAATGGTGTAGCTGTGTGCAGCCTGCATTTTATGAGTGGCTGCACCTGTGCAGCCAAAGAGGATGCTAAGTGCAAGTTGAAGGGACTCAGGAGGATCAGGAGTTGAGGCTGATCAGAGGGAGCACCTTTGGTAGCTCTTGCCTGTGTGGCATTTTTGGTGAGGCCTCTAAGAGGCCACCTCTAACCCCCAAATTCCACTACCTCCGCTCCGCTCCGGTCCGCCCCCGCCTTCCGCAGCCGCTCGCTTCCAAACTCAATTTTTACTGCTACCCGCTCTACAACGGCTCCGCTCCGGTGCGGAGACCTGAGGTGGGCAAACAGGCATGCGCAGGATTTTCGAGATCTTGCGATACAGTCCGAGCAATAAACGCGGAAGTTAGATCCAAACACCCGTTGTGTGGGAGAAGCATCGAAATGAACTGTTTAATCTGCCCATCATTTGTGTTGAGAGATCAGCAGTGTTTGGATCAACAAAGTGTGACTACTTTGATAGTGGAAACTGTATTTATGGCTTACTTTTGTGCATTTCAACTTCAGCCGCTATTGATAGTTGTTAAAAGTTGTTAAACCTGTGCATATGAAACAAAAAACGCCTTTTGTTTATCGATTTATTGTGAAAAACGGAAGTTGTGCTTGCTCCTTTTCATGTTGGGCGGTGGTGATTTCTGTCCATTTACTGCGGAGGTGCTCCGGCATCCGGCAAAAATAGGATCGATTCTATTTTTGCTGGACGCCGGAACAGAGGGCGGCGCACGGCGCTGCACTGCCGGAGCACGGCCGCAGTAGTGGAATTGCTCTGATTGACTAGAACGGGACCGATTTTGCTCCGGCATTCGTGTCGGAGCGGAGCGGAGTGGAGGTAGTGGAATTTGGGGGTTAGAGGCTTGGTTTTAATAAAAAAAATATACTCTTAAACATTAACCTTGTGTCCTGACCTCCTCCTTTTGTTGCAGTCCCACGAGCCAGGCTGTAAGAGAATCAATTATTTGTTTTAATTTTGTAACAAAACTCATGAGTTTACTCAGTGCACTGGTAAATTCAGCAAATGTAACAAATAGGGTCTGTGGAGAATGAAAAAAGGGACTTTGCTCCATTTAGCTGTCATCTCTACAATTTAAACTTTGTCCAACTGGTTCTACAACAACCAAACATTAAACACTGATTTACCAGCAGGGAAGTCAGTCTGGACTTCAACCACTTTAGTTCCACCTAACAAACTCTTTTGTACAATAAATGTCAAACTTGTGCTTAATTCTACTCAAACCAAGCACCTTTTGTAAGTTTTCTCCCCTCCGTAACTTTTCTTTAAAAAAAGGGGAGATTTATGACACAGTTGAAGAAAACGTTGTTTAAATACATACACCAGTGTTTTTGTGAAAGCTGCCATCCGTTGTGCTTGCTTGGCGACGTGAGCCGTGTGTCCCAGCAGCTACTGGGCTGAATCTTTAAATGTACAAGGAGGGAATGGGAGCAATCAGCAGATGGAGGCGTAGGAGAAGTGTCAGCCTTTCTGGTTGGGGGAGAGAATAATGGAGCCTGCCAACGCTAACGAAATATCACAGTCAAGGGCTGATTTTTACTCACAGCTGTCATGATCCACCGGGTGCCATTTTTGTCCTTCTATAGAAACAGTTTTCTGTGGAGATGAAGACTGAGTATAGGATGTGTTTTTACATTCCCTCCGAATTTAGTTCTCAGTTGTGTCTTAATAAGCTTTTACCCTAACAGTTTAAAGTTTAGGGAATGCCAACAATGCACCCTGGTGCATTAAGCCCCGAGTGCACACACTGACTGAAGACTGATGTTCTGTGAGCTCACTGTAGACATCACAGACAGGTTCTGGCTGCCAAAGAGGCTTAATGGCTCAGAAATATCTAAGGGTTGTGTTTAAAGAACAGTTTAACATTTTCTCAGCGGATTTATTTGATTTTTTCTCATTGGGAGACCTAAAAAATATAAATTCAACTAACAGTATATTAGTTTAATCAGGTATGAAAGATAAGGTAAAAATAAACTGTTATCTAGCACCTTCATAATGAACTCATTATTTTATAATAAAATTAATTTGTGAAAAACAAAGGCTTCATGCAAACATAACAGACTTTTGGCAAATCTGACCTTTCCTGTCAAACACGTTAGCAGCAAAAAATACATCAAAATAAGCATTAACAGCAGAACATCATAATCAGAATATTTTATTAACCTGTGAAAATGTTTCTGTTCATTATTATTTTTTAGATGAATTCAGTTCCTATCAAATATAAAACGTGGAACATGTTACAAAAAAGAGAATTTTCTTATTCAAATCCAGTTATATACAGTCCAATTCATTTCAATATATTCCAGATTATTATCGTTCAATACACTCTGTTTCTAGCCTGGCAAGCCAGACTATATATGTGAATATACAGTCTGGCCATGGCTCTCAGACATGGGGCAGGATCTATGGTTGTCTTTCAAACCGTCTCCACATGCTATTGGATAACAAATAACGCTACGGACGTCAGTCAACGAGGCAGTCGGCTGTAGTCTGTCAAAGACCATTCAAATACATCCTTTTTCTAAATAACCTTAAGTACCTCAATCTGCTCTTGACTCAAAGAAAAGCCCAAGTCAAAATAGTCCAAAGTTGATGCCAAAGCCCTTTCAAACAAACAGTTGCCATCTTTAATTTTTCAGTAACATCCTGCCCACCAACAGAGTGCTATGATTGGCCCACCAAACCAATAGAGGTTTGTCATTGAATCGCTATGGATGCCAGTCAGTGGGACAGTCCACCGTACATCGTGGAAGAAGCAGAAAAGAAGACAAAAGTACATTGTTGTTCTAAAAAAACGAGCTGTGATTGACCAGCCACAATACTGGCCGAGGCTACAGAGGTTCCAATGGAGCGTTGCTAGACCGACATGCAAAGCAAACTTATTTTGCTTTGGCAAATGACAGTCTAGATTGTTTCAGTAATTATAATGAAATTTATTTAATGCAATTATTTAACAAATAACAAAAATGATATTTAAAAAAGGTTCCTATTAAGAAAAATGCGTGGGTTGCAGCCTATATCTATGTCTGGTTGCAGCAGAACCAGACTGTCCTGAGTGAACGGATGCTAAGATGACAGAAAAGGGACCAAAAGGACTGAAAGACACATTTCTTACAGTAATATTAACATTCACATTTCACTGAGAGCAAAGAGATATTTCAACGGCATAAGGATTTTTTTTTTTTTTTTTACCTTCCATTAGCCTGTGTATGGTATCCAAAGTCAGTCATAACTAGAAGATTTTTCTTAGTGGAAAGTTCTACGCCCAAATCTCCCAAATCCTTACCAGGAGGTGGTTACATAAAAGAACCTGAAAACTGAAGAATCTGCTTGCAGCTGTACTTTAGGATTTCTGTAGTCGGAGTGTGAAATGCTCTCTGTTTGAATAGAAAGCAACTTTAACATCTATACAAATGTGATAATCTTTTTAAGATAAACGTTCACAGGTGAGAATTGTTCAAGTAATATTTTGACATCCTTTTAGTGTGTAAAAATGGAATAATTCAGCCAGGAAAGAAATGAATTTACGCAAGAGTTTTTCTTCAATACTCTGGTAATAAAGTCTCTCAAAACTGGTGATAGACCATAGATGAAAATAGAAAGTACTAGAAAGTTGCTATATGTCCTAATTAAAGAAAACACTCTGATCAATAATTATTTAATGGCTCCTCACAGAAATGTTGGAATGCGAAATCATTCTAGTTTAAGTAAATCATTAGATTGTGCAGTTTTATTGTGCTCAGGAGCAAAAACACATCTAGTCTTGAATATGGAATTAAAAGTAAGTTTTATAAGTTATTTGTTTTTTTGAGGTTACTAGAGGATAATAAGCAGAGAAAAACACCTTTATTTAATGCTGTCTTTATATTGTTGCCTAACTGCTGCATATATCGGGGGAATGATAATGGTCTAATGACACAACCTTGTGGAACTCCAAGACGTATTAAAATGGTTTTGAGAACCTTTATTTATAAAACATATTTAAACGCGAGTGTAACTTAAAGTACCTTAAAGATGAAAGCTTGCACTGAATCTGACAAGGGGTCGATGTTTACTTGTATACAACTAATACTATCATACTATCATAGTCTGATAGTATAAATAAAATTCAACAAAGCTAACAGCGTGAGTATTTCATTTCAGAGATTAATTCATTACCAGAACTGAAGGTACATTCCTTGAATCAAAGCTGTTAAAAGACTTTCTTTTCATGCCTCCACCAAAGTCAACTCTGTTTTCTGCTGTGAGACACAGCAAAGTTTGTATTGATTGCTATGATAAAGAAAGCAATTTCACTCCCTGTCCTCCTCCTATTGTTCAAGCTCAGTCTTTCCTAATCTGTGTATCTCTTCATCTCTGCAGTAAATTACCCAGCTGGGCTCGAGCAGTGGTTCCTAAAATCTTCTATGTCACAGAGAAAGCATGGAACTACTACCCATACACCATTACAGGTAAGTAAACCGTATAAGAGCCCTGTTGGAACACTTTACCTCTCAAGTGTTTACCAGGTATAGAAACTGAGTCACTGCTTTTTAAGGTCCACTTTTCTGATAGTTTTTGCAGGAATTCATGCCAAGACACATTTTACTTACTACTTGCCACTTGATGTAAAACACTTCACTAAATGTGTGTGTAGCACATTGAAATGGTGTGAAATAACCTAAGGGGAAATGTGATCCAAGCACATTTTAACACATATTAGGAAAAGCTGAAAATGTATTATTCATCAAAGCTTCTGATAACTGTGGAAATATGTTGTCTGTTTGTGAGCTCAGTTTCCAGCTGAGGGTGTTTTCAGGTGCAATAATCAATCCCGTAAATATTCAGGATGGGTAGTGATTTTTGAATATTCAAAGTGCTGTTAAAACACACATATCTAATTAAATAATTTACACACTTCGGAATGATAACACATGTTGGAGCGAAAGCAACCATTGTACCATCTGGTTGTCTGCCCCACCGACCCACAGCACCTCCTCACTTCCCTGGGTCCTCCACTCATAACCAGTGATGGGAATAACACCGTTTAAAATAACGGCATTCTTTTTTTGGGTAACGGAATAATCTAATTAATTACTTATCCCACTGTTGCAACGCCGTTACTGGGGACGGAAGGCTGTGCGTTACTATGTGCTTGTTGAACGTTGAGCAACAGTGTGAGGATTTCTGACCGCCACACTTCAGCTGCAGCCAGGGAGAGAGAGGTGTCGGTAACGCGCTTACAAACACCATGATGATTGGCCGGGTGGGCGGAGACCCTCAGTGTTCTCACTGTCACTGCATGCTGTAAACACAACAGAGCAGTGATGGGAATAATCATAATTTAAAATAACTGCATTACTAAAAAAAATTATTTTTCAGTAACGAGCAAACTAATTAATTACCGTCCTCTTTTATCAAAACGCCGTTTCTGTTACTGATAAGAAAATGCGTGCGTTAAGCAGCGCGGTGTGTTGAAGCTGTCATCAGCTGATCAGGAGCTAAAGAGGCAGATGTTTTCATCCAAGCGCATCACGGCCCGTGAGGAACGAGGAAGACGTGATGAATAGTCTACTGCTGCCCTTCTTAGCGTGACAACGGGGCGTCCTGAAGGTCCGCTCACCTGTTCACTGCTCAGACGTCCTGATCTTCTACCTTCCTAGATCATCCAGCTGTAACCTGTTTCTGATCGTGTCTTTAGTCCCGCTGTAACACTGATGCATCAGTCTCAGACGTCATGGAGCTCAGGTGTTATTAGAACTACCTGTGTGTGTTTACCACCCAGCTTCAGCCCTTCTGTGGTCGGGTCTGACCCAAGTTAGTAAATGTAAGTCCTCCATCAGGCTTGTGCCTCTTCTAGTGTCATTTTAAAGGATTGTATTTATTTATTTATTTATTTGTTCATTCATTCATTACTAGATTACCAGCAACAGAAATGCTACTAATAACAGACAATTATGTGAAGCTGGAAAAATTAAAATACTGTGCAAAACTACATTCATTTCTGTAATTTAACTAGACTGAGAGACCATTTAAAGGCTCGGGAACATTTACAGGTGTTTCTATTTGCAATTTTAAATTTTAGCTGATTGGGGTCTTGTTAAATATCACACAGTGACCTTTCAATAGTCTAGATAAGTGTAATGTTCCTATTAGTAGTTCCTCCTGTTAAGTTCTTATTTATTTAAATTATTCAGGTTTCTAAAAAACATTTGGGCATACATTTTGTTATGTTCCAGCCATTAGTCATTTATATTTCACTATTGTAGTCATTTATAGTAAATTAAGTAAGTTCAATTAACCCATTTTTCTTGCATTCTTTAATGAAAAAAGTAACTAAGTAGTTTTTTTTTCTTGGTAATTAGTTACTTTTATAATCTTGTAACTCAGTAACTGAGTTACTTTTTTGACAAAGTAATTAGTAACTATAACTAATTACTTTTTTAAAGTAACTTTCCCAATACTGCTCATAACACACTCAAGTATTTAGCTACATAACATGGATGTGAGAGGTTTCTAGCTGTCTGCTACCACTTCAACTTTAGGACAAACTACTAGGGTCCCAAAAGGTAAAACACCATTTGAAGTCACGGACAACTAAAGTCCCTGGAGTCCCTTTAAAGGTGTGGAACACTGAAAAAACATTTTTAAATGATTATTTCTGATTATAATGTGTCACTCTGAGCTTTTCGTGGAGGTTGCATTAATTTCTGATAGAACATAGATGATGAAACTCTAGGATTTGAAAAGCCTGACAGATCTACATCACACTGTCACTTAACATTCATGGACTCATCCATCTTGGCTCACAATGGGGAAGGCTGTTGTTGGTTTAGCTTCCAGAAATCAGCAGAGAATGTCTCAGCTGGTAGAAGCTATCCGTTAGCATTAGCATCTCCGCCACACAGAAGAACTCAAGGCTCGATTTCATCTTACAAGGCGTTCATTCCTACTAAAGACCACTGCAAGTGCATTGATTAAAGGAGTTTTCAACACCTTTAAATGGCAATTTGAATAACGTCTTTTTCTGGCACTTACACGCTAGCAACGACTCCACCTCGCCTGGACTGGGTTGGGATTGTTCTCATTAGATAGCCTTTGATTGTCCCGCGTGCTACTGGACGTCTTTTCAGCCCTCTTCCTGAGGCGGTCTGCCAGGAGTGGAACTGGTCCAATACGACCACTGCTGACTGACTGACCAGCTCAAAATCATGCCTACTATTAAGGGTAGCCTCCAATTGGCAGACAGAATCAGCCTGTGGGGGCTTCCCGCATACACAATTCGTTATCATTCTGGATGCTGTGGAGTTAACAAGCCTTTCACTGAGCTGTTTTACTCTCTCTCACTTCTGTGAGGAGTGCACGTGCACACACACACACACACACACACACACACACACACACACACACACACACACACACACACACACACACACACACACACACACACACACACACACACACAGTAATGCAAGACTCAGCAATGAAGGATGCAAAATCAGTCAAAGAGTCACCAAAAGACTGCTCAGGCCGCTTTTGTTTATTTATGGAGATACCGCTGACTTCTCTGCGCTCTGTTTCCCCACCCACATGCTCGGAGATGCGCTCAAGACATCACAGACCACCTATGTGCTCAAGTGTGGAATGAACGCGGTGAGGTTGGGGTGGGCAGAGCAGAGCAGAGTGCAGTGGAGCCGATGCAAGTGTGTAAGTCAGGGGTGCCCAATCCTGGTCCTGGAGGGCCGGTATCCAGCAGGTTTTGTGGTTTTTCTGCTCCAACACTCTTGATTAACTGGTTGAATCATCTGTGCAGCATCTGATCAGGCTCTGCAGAAGCCTGTTAATCACCTGCTGATTGAAATCAGGTGTGTTGAAACAGAATTAAAACTAAAACATGCTGGATACTGGCTCTCGAGGAGCAGGATTGGGCACCCCTGGTGTAAGTGGCATTAGGGTTCTACAACCCCCCCCCCCCCCCCCCCCCCCAAGGCGCTTCACAACACAATCAGTCATCTACCCATTCACACGCTGATGGTGATGAGCTACGATGTAGCCACAGCTGCCTTGGGACGCACTGACAGAGGCAAGGCCTGTTGAACACAGGTGCCACCGGTCCCTCTGACCACCACCAGCAGGCAATGCATGTTAAGTGTCTTGCCCAAGGACACAACAGCAGCATTCAAACCTGCAACCTTTTGATTACTAGACAACCTGCTTTACCTCCTGAGCTACTGCTGTCCTTTAAACAGAAACGTTGATATGATCCTAAGCAAAATGTTAATTAAAGATATACTAGGGTCAGTGACTTCTGCAGATAAGAGCAAGAGGCGATTGAAACATTGATCAACAATGATCAATAAAGTATAATTTTAAACAGCATAAATATACATGTGAGACAAGATCTTTGGGAAAGGTGCTATTGATCCCTGAGGGCCTTTGGTGCTGACATGCAACATTTAGAGACACATTAGATCACAAGAAGGCACAAGAAATCTAGCCTCTCCATTGGTTACTGTCCTGTAAGGATAAGCATGTCGCTCTCAGAGAAAACGCACCCAACACACAAACATGTTTACCGTCTTCATCCATGTGCTTGTCTTGACGCTCTTACACTGAGCACAGTGGTGGATTCATCTTCTGTGTGTGAATCACCCAGATTAGAGGCAAGCCGTAATCCGAAGTGCAACAATCATTCCTGCTGTATCCTGCACATGTTTCTCTGCTGCTTAAATGATTCTCACCATTAAAAAGAAATGTTACAGGACGAAGGAGATTAGTTTTAGATGTGAGTGAACAACACGTGAAAAAGAGATGTTCTACGTGTTTTAACTTTTATTTGATTGCTTTGAAAAGCTGCTCGCTGGAGACCTTATTCAGATAAACACTTGGAGGACTTCTCAAAAGCCTTGAATTGATTTTCTTGTGTGAATTTTTTTTAAATATATTTTATACTTTTGAAGGAATTAGTTCTGATATAATTTTTAAGGAATCTGATGTAGATGTAAACTTTACTTTCTTACATGTCCGAATAGTTGGAACATTGCATCCTTGCCTTTTATTTTCATACAGAAGACTTTTGTTCATGGTCATTAAACTAATTGGGTCTCTCTTGTGTTCTTTTTCTACTCCAACCTGATGTCCGTCTGTCGTTGTGCTTTGATCTGAAGAATACACTGTAAGTATCCTCAGTGCAGTTCACAACAGCTCCAGCAATTTGTTAAAATGAGAACAAGCCCAGAGTCACAATTATCGTAGGCTTATAATCATATAGTACGAACTAATAAATATTAGAAGCTATTTGCAATAAGCAGAACCTTCCCAAGTTAATCACTGATGTGTGAAGTACATTTTCATCCCAGGGTAGGAGACATTTTGTTGCTTGAAGACCGTAGATGTAGATACTGGACATAGCCCGCACATTTCTCTCTTAATTTTCTAAATTCCACAAAATGGGAGGTTCCCACCACCGCCATCTTGGTCATGTCACACATTACATCACGCCCAGACAATCCAAAAATGAGAAAAGAGGTGGAGCTGAGAGTGGGGCTCTGAAGGTGGGAGCAAATGAACCAATGTAGCTACTAGCGACTGAGCTAATCCCCAAAGCTTAGCCGAAGCTCCGGGGTAGCTGACCCGCGCGACCGCCTGGCTTCCATGTGGGGCTGTAGCCAGGTTGGTTACCTGTGGAGCTCTAATGTTGACTGTTAAACTACAAGCAGAGCCTCAGACCGCTGCAATCAGAGCTGGGCACCCAGGTCGCTCATGTAAGCTGGTGAACAGCTCTTCCTCCAAGGTCGGAGATCATTGGAACATTAGCCACACGCTAACCTGAAGCTAACAGAGTTTTTCGGGTGCTTTTGAAGAGGAAAAAACACTGTTAGAAACTCCAAAGTCAAGGCACTTCTGGCCAGGAGACAGGAGAAACCAGGCGCCTGCCTCACTGGACTGCATCCGGGTGGATTGAGCGGCAGATTCACAGATCCCTGAGTGCAGGGCAGATACCGTTTAAGGGAGAGATGGTACCGAATCCCAGCAAACCCCTCTTTCGCAACGGCAACCTCGCTGATCTTTGACCGCGGTGGACAAGCGAAGCCCAAAAGCCTCTACTATCCTCGATCAGCTTACCTAACTCTTGTTTCGTTATCCACCTAACAGCAACTCCAAAATTTTATATTTCCACCCATCTCTGACTAACAAGTGTTATGTTAAATGGACAATATTTCCTCCCATTCAACCAGCAAAATAAAGTACAGAAATATAATTTTACTTATTGATAAAAAGGAAACAGAGACTTCATGGATGATCTCTTGGTGCAACCACAACCACTCCTTGTCATCCTTGTCCAAATAGTTCCATGATTAACATCCAAACACAAACCCAGAGGACACAACTGAAGTTCATAGAGTTGTAATGGCCAAACACCTATTAACTTGAGTCTCAGGCTGAGGTCTTCCCTGGAGCTAGCCGCTAGCACTAGCTCTGACGCTCATGCTACCTGCCAATCAAATGTAATTATTTATAGCTTCAAGCATTTAATTGCAGTTAAGAAAAAGTGACGAAAATATTCACTCCCCTCAGAGTTGTCATGACTGTAAACTAAGCATGTTAAACCTAAAAGGTTTTCTTGAACCAGGCTGTAAACATGTTTTTTTCTGCTGTGAAATTGGCATTTTGAACATGGGAATCCATGAGAGTGGAACTGTAAGTTTTGGCACTTCCGTGTTGGGAGTAGTTCTGGGTGTCCAGGGTTGACACTTGGTGAAGACACACAGACACAGCCTTCCAACTTTTTCATCTCTCAAGATTTAACTCAAATCTCCAGTTTGGACAAAACATTGAATTCACAAAATTACACTTGTGTTGGTTTCATTCGAATAACAGATGTCTGTGGATTTTGGTGCTTAAAGAGCAAGTCACCCCAAATCAACTTTTTTTTTCCTGATAAACTAAATAAATGTGTGTCTAATTGTGCTGCCGACACGTGTAATAGTTTTGCACTTTAGTGCATTTTTGTTAAAATTTTAATTGTCTGCCTAAAACTGTCAGTGTTGTGCCGTTGTCAGGTAAAAACTCTGCACTGCGTTTGAATTTAAATCTGCCATTGCTATTGGCTAAGAGGTACCCTAGAATGTTAGCTGGTACCATATGATGTCACAATGTCATTGTGAGCCTATGTGTGTATGTATTTGTTAGTGGCTCCGCCCTCTCGGTCTGCAAGGCAACAGCATTTGTTGCATTTTTCAAACAGGAAGTGGGAGTTGAGTAATAATCTGGTAGGGGATGACTTGTTCTTTAAATAAATCCTTCATCAGTCTAAATTGCATTCAAAGTTGCTTTATTTTGATTATTCCTAAATATTTATGACCCAACCAGATTTGAACCCTGAGCTCCCAGTCCCAGGGTGGACACATACAACTACGCCACTGAGAAGGTATATGGCACCTTCTAGTGTTATACAGCCTGCCAAGGTGCTTTACAACACAATAGTCATTCACACACTGATGGCGATGCACTACAATTTGGCCACGGCTGCCCTGGGGGTGGCCACTGACAGAGGCAGATGAACCTTGTGCCACTGGTTCCCTCGACCACTAACATGAAGTGTCTGTCCAAGGATACACTGACTGGGACAGGGCTGGGGGCGTGGACCTTCAACACTCTGGTCACATGGTGGGCACGTCATTGCTCTTATGCTCAATAACCGATATTTTCTGATATTATACATATTTCTCTACACTTACGACAGTGTAAAAGGGACTGCAACACCTACATTGCATCTCTGCTTCAGTTAAACACCCCAGCAATCCTCCGCCACATCACTATCACTGTCTTATTTCCCTAAAAATACCACATAGCTAAACCCCTCCCCCTCCGGAAACACAGTCAAATGGCAACGTGATGGAAATGAACATTGATTGTTAATATCGACTCAGTTCTACTTATCAGAACGATACCATACGCTAAAATCTGACTAACATTGGCCGAAACCGATGCTGCTGCAGATAGACCCCTGATCCCATCCTACAAACTACCCTTCATGTCTTGGCTGTGTGACCTGTCGCAACCATCAACATACATATAGGTCGTAACCCATTAAATACATGAAGTCTTGGCTGAGCAAATGAGCACATATAAAACACACACGTGTTGATGGGTTTGGCTACAGGGCTGCTGTGGTGCAGGGAGAGAAACGTGGACGGCATGAGTCACGCTGTTTTTGCAGACAAGAATAACGGGGAAAGACGGCAATGCTTTGACAGCAACTGGATTCTTGACATTCTTTGAGTGTTTATGTGTAGGAGCATTTTGTGTTCACAGATGACTCATTGTACAACAAATACACCCATGCAGGATTGTTATTTTATTTAAAAATTACAGAAAGCCCTAAAATTGTACTTGTCTTTCGTGTCTTTCTACAGCTTGATCTTTATAGTTGGTAAACACACATACAGCAGCAGCTTTGACAGCCACTGCTTCTATTTTTTAGATGTTACAGCAAGGCATTTAAAATGGAAGCTTTTATTTTTACATTTTTCTTCTAAGTAGATTTCTAATAAGGGGCAAAGAAGCTTGCCTTTGTCACAAACGTACAACAGGCTGTACACCAGCTCAGTTTAAATGTGTTTTTGATTGAAACCCCACTTTTAGTGATTATACCTGATTATAATCAGTCACTCTTGAGTTTTTTATGCAGGCTGAACATGAAAATAGTCTCCTACACCTATCTCCTGCTTTAGATTCTGATAGAAAATAGACAATGAAAATCTAGGAGTGATGTCACACTGTGAATTTGCATTCATATCCTCACCCATTTTGGCTCGCACCCGCCCACAGGAAGACTTTAAAACATTTTTTGCAGTGAAGAGAGAGAGCAGAGAGTGTCCTGGTGATAGTGAATTTGCAACATGACTGAACGTGTTCTGTTAGCCAATCAGAAGTGAGGTGTGTGCATATCATATATAATAATGAGCAGTCCTGCAGTTTTCAGCACACCTCTGCACCAGCTAACTTCTGCATCTCAACAGGAGCATCATAGTATTTTTAATGACTCATAAGGCATTGATTTACACTAGAGAACACTGCAAATGTATTGAAATAAAAATACCTTTAAACACATAGAAATCAATGAAAGGCAGAACGAAGATGGCTGTGATGTTGTTTTTCATTTATAGCTTTACATATTTTTTGTGTTTGACTCACAGTGCTCCTTCCTGCCCAAGTTCTCCATTCACATAGAGACTAAATATGAGGACAACAAAGGAAGCAATGACAATGTAAGTACACAGTCTGTCCGAATCACCAAAACACAAGAAGCACACAGCCTATCTGTGGTCTCCTGGCTGCTCAGTTAGACTTTCCAGGAAAAGAGACTCCTGTGCCGTGTTTGCAGATGGCCTAAAAGCTGATGCATTCTGATACTGTAGTTGCTGCACAGATTTTACTTTCTCGTTTTCGTCAAATCTGTAATGTTGTGTTTGGACTTAAATTAGCTTAACATCATCGTTCATTAGCATTGGAAATATGCTCTTTTAGTCCTTGTTCAGTACCTCTTTTTCATGCTGCCGCTGAAGGTTGATATTTAGGGACAAACATACGTCTCTTCATGTTCAGGGGTGTTGATCTCTGGTATGGATCATGGTCCTAATCAAGACATTTCCATCAGTTTTGGATGGTGACTCTCAGCCATTGCTGAGCACAGATTCTTTGCTGGGCTGGAGGAAAATGCTGCTGGTTCATGAAGGGCAAAAACAGTGGAAACATTATGAAGTCCACATTTTTAAAAGTTTGAGTTGGTTTCACCTTTTCCCTTACTTTTTTAAAAGACATAACACTTCAATAAGATAAGTATGTTTTATTTATATAGCACTTATCACAGACATAGAATCACAAAGTGCTTCACATAGATCAAAACAAAATAAAACAGTCATAAAATCATAAATAGATTAACATCATAAAATCAAAATGCTCTCAAAACAGAATCAGATTAACATCTGAAAAAGTCATAAAATTCTAAAATTTCATAAACAGATGAAAGATTAAAAATTTGAGTTTAAAATAAGAAAATAAAATGTTTAGGTAAAAGCAGCTTTGAATAAAAGGGTCTTTAGCTGTTTTTTAAAAGTGTCCAGACTGTCAATACTGCGTAAAGATAAAGGAAGATCATTCCAGAGTCGGGGTGCAACAGTCTGGAAGGAGTGATCACCTCGACTTTTGTATCTGGTCTTTGGAACTGCTAGAAGGTTCTGGTGTGTGGACCTGAGGGCTCGGGTTGGAGCATAAGGCGTTAACAGTTCAGTAATATAGGGAGGAGCTTGACCATGCAGAGCGTTGAAAGTTATAGTCAAGATTCTAAAAGGAACTCTAAAGTTAATGGGTAACCAGTGCAGAGACATTAGAATAGGAGTGATGTGTGCTCTTCTGTTTGCTCCAGTTAGGAGCCTCGCTGCAGAGTTCTGGACCAAAAAGGCGGCCACGTGCTTTTTTGTTAAAACATGTGAAGAGTGTGTTATAGTCATCTAGACGGGAGGAGATAAAAGCATGGATAACCATTTCAAGTTCATGTTTTGACATCAACCTTTGCAGTTTGGAGATATGTCTTAAGTGATAAAACAGCTACAGACCAACGTTTTTGAGTGACCTTCAAGACACATTAATTGGTAAAAAATAACACCCAAATTCCTTAAGTTTGTCTTGGCGGCAGAGGATAAATGACCAAGTTTTAGACTAATCAGGGGAACCATGCTCTCAGGGGCAATGATCAGACATTCAGTCTTTTCAGAGCCTAACTGAAGGAAGTTACCTTCTAGCCAGCTGGTGATAGCTGAAAGAAACTCTAGATGCTAAATTAGCCAATGTCCAAGTACTCCAGCTACCTCCGACAGCCCAAATTCATGCATTAACACCTCTAAATTGTCCCCAGGTGTCCCATTCATCCTTTTTCGTCCACTTATCATCGTGGGGGCAGCAGCCTAAGCACAGAGGCCCAGACTTCCCTATCCCCAGCCACTTGGGCCAGGTCCACTGGGGGAATTCCAAGGCATTCCCTGGCCAGCTGATAAACATAGTCCCTCCAGTTTGTCCTGGGTCTTCCTTTAGGTCAGTGTTTCTCAACCCTGGTTCTTGGGACCCACTGATCTGTAAGTTTTCTTCTTCAGAACACCTCATTTACATTGCCTCCACAGGAGGACATCAAGTGCTGCAGATGCCTGTTAATCACTTATTCATTTAAGTCAGGTGTGTGGCAGCAGGGAAACACTGGTGTTTGAAAGGGTAACATGGAAAACATACAGGACAGTGGGTCCTGAGGACCAGGGTTGAGAAAAGTGCTTTAGGTCTCCTTCCAGTTGGACATGCCCAGAAAACCTCACCAGGGAGGTGTCCAGAATTGGGGTGGGAATCTTAAACCGGTTCTTATTGAGAACCGGCTCCCATTGTTTCAATATCTAGGAATCGTTTGACACTTTTGCAAACGATTCCCCTTACCAATTCCAGTCGGCATGAATGACGTCACCGTGCACGTTGTGTAGCTTACGGAAGCAGGAAACATGGCTTCTAAGTGGCACAAATGCTCAAAAGTTTGGTTATATTTTACAAGAAAGCATGACAACAGGGTAACTTGCAATAATGGCAAAGTAGATAATTCGTCACGAGAGGAAGCATCACGAATATACAAAAGCCTTTGGGCACAAAATATGCAAAATAGTTAATGACGTATTCTGACCCTCTATGGACCCTCTACAGAGTAGTGAATTTCAACGCAGCTGCAGAGGTGATGTTCGCACATCCTCTCCTGTTAATACTGCAGGTAACTAATCAACTAACACATCATGTTCGCGTCATTAAACTTATATTTACACCTCCACACTAGCAGACTCCAGCGACAAAGGTCTGACCTGTGGTGAGATTTTTCCCACTCTACAAAATCTACAGCAACACCGCACCGAACAAGAAGATGACTCTACCTTCACAGGGAGCATAAAGGAGAACATTTGGAAAGATATTTCCAACCGATACAGGTACAACTTATTATTTATCATAAAGAAACTGAGAGTTATACTGCAGAAGCTGTGCGCAGTTTTATTTTTGGCACCTGTTTAACTACAATTGATAAAGAATCGGATCGATAGACAGAATCGACAATGCCATTGATATTAATAAAAACTTATCAATTCCCACCCCTAGTCCAGTAGGCATTCTAACCAGATGCCCGAGCGACCTCAACTGGCCGCTCTCGATGTGGAGGAGCAGCGGATCTACTCCGAGCCTCTCCCGGATGACCGAGCTTCTCACCCCATCTCTAAGGAACAGCCCAGCCACCCTGTGGAGAAAACTCTTTTCGGCCGCTTGATTTTGTGATTTCATACTTTTGGTCACTAGTCAAAGCTCGGGACCACACGTGAGGGTAGGAACGTAGATTGACCGGTAAATCGAGAACTTTGCCTTCTGGCTCAGCTCTCTCTTCACCACGACAGACTGGTACAATCAATGCCCACATCACTGCAGATGCAGCACCAATCCGCCTATTGATCTCGTGCTCCAGCTTTCCCTCACTCATGAACAAGACCCCGAGACACTTAAACTACACCACTTGGGAAAGGACCTCATCTCTGACCCAGAGAAGACATTCTACCCTTTTCTGACTCAAGAACATGGTCTCAGATTTAGCGGAGCTGTTTTTGCTCAGAGTCCACCAAACGTTGGTCTGTTCATACGGATGGCTAATTTAGTTCGAGCTGTTGGATTGCACACACTCCAGTTCAGAAGAGCATTAATCATCAAGTGAGAATGCCAGTGCCCAGACAGTGAAGGATGAAAGGCTGGTGTGTATCCAAACAGAAAGCCTGAAATATGTTTAGTTGTGCTTTTTGGCCTAAAAATGAATCTAAAAGTTCACTTGCCCGACGCTACAGTTATCACAGAAAGTGGCGGCCAAATCTCGGCCATATAAACAGACACCTGCAGTGTTTTGAACATGCAGAGATGTTATGGATGGATGTGCTCCATCCAAACGACGAGAGTGATGGTGTTGAAATGAAATTTACAAAATTGAAACTGCCTTCCGCCAGTTCACTCAGTGAAGATTGAAAGATGTCGCATAAATATGTTTGTTTGTGGTTCTGCTGAAATGCCTGACAGATTGGGACGCCTTTGGATGTGAGCTGAGTTGAGATGCTGTGTTGCGCACGCATGCACGCACACACACACAAACACACTCAGAGTTATTCAGCATTAATAAAACGACAGCTGCACGACTTTGTGAAGCACATGAACGAAAACTCTTTCCATGTTTTAACATAACAAGTGGATAAATATTGAAGCGTTTTTTTAAATAACAAATGCAGTTAAATGAAGATGGCAGCGGTTTTAAAATTTAAAAACAATTTTTAAAAAAGGCTGATCAAGACTTGTGTGCTCCCATGTGTCCATTATGACACAATATGTGTGTGTCCATCTGGCTTATCTTCACACTGTGTGTGAGCTCTAAAAAAGCACAGAAAGGAGGAGGAATGGAAAAAAGGAAGGAGGAAGGAGGGTAAAAGAGGGAAAGGATGGAAAATCACAGATGCATAGATAGAAAATGAGTGGGTGTGCAAGGAGACATAGTGTACTTTTTAATGAAGAGTGTACCAACAGATCTAGACAAGCCAAATTTGACAGAAACATCCAAGAACAGTTAACGACCTGCACTTTTTTGTTTTTACTTAATTTACATCAATTAAAATATGTAAAAAATGGAAATGTATTGGGCATCAACATTTATGCTTTATCCTGAGATATAATCAAGTTTCAGCTCTTGATTTTCTTTTATTTTCATTGAAACCTTCTATGGAGGACCCACTTGTGGTTAATCCTCCTAAAACATTAGTAAATAAATAAATGAACTATGGATGTGTATTGGTGAAATTCTGGCGATACGCATTGCGATACAGGGGAGACGATACAATATACCACGATATTGTAACGATTCGTTAGTTACATCTTAAGTAATGACCCATAAAATGTGAGATTCCATAGGAAATATGAAATCAATTTGATGGATCTTTGAATATTACTTTAAGCAGAAGATCGGATGTTTTTATTGCAGGGATTAGATAACTCTTCGTATTAACTCCAAGAAAGAGAGAGTCAGGTTTAATAGTTAAAATATTTATTTCTAAACAGTTTAAACAAGACTAACTTTAAACACTATGTGTATCATGTAACTAAGGTGGAGTAAGACTGAGGATGATGTGTGTGTGAAAAATGTTCAGAACCAGCAAATACGGAGAGACTATTAGTTCTGAGTGGGAGTGAAAGGGTGTTTCGCTCTAAGCTTTGGTTTGGAGATTATAACACACATTGAGACGCCATCTGTCGGTCTACGTACCCCAACGGAAGTTCCCGTTTAGATCCAACATGTCAGGGGTCCAGCTTGAACCCTCTTGGAACTGACGTCTGTAGATATGCAGCGGTTGCCGACCCTTCCAGTCTTGAGTTACTCCCAGGTCACGACAGTTTATTGGCATCAGCGAGAGCCTGAAAGGGTCGTGATGGTTCAGCTTTTATTCTGAAGGAACCGTTGCAGCAGGTGGAACATACAACAGATTTATTCCAGCTTGTTGTTAGGTTCTTTCGGCTTTAAGAGGAAAGTTACGGATTGGCCACTCCGATAACTTCTCTAGTATGCTTGGAACTGAAGTTAAGATGACGTGGGGCATAGTTTTATAATTTGGATGTTTTGATTTGCTGTTGAATCAGAATTTGACAACAAAAGGGGATTATACAAGCACCAACAAAACCATGCCTCGCGTCAGATCTGGAGAGTTCTGATTGGATCAGAAAAAGTTAGTTAAAGTTAAAGTCCCAATAGTTGTCACACACACAGGTGTGTGTGCAAAATTTATTCTCCACATTTGACCCATCCCCTGGGGGAGCGGTGAGCTGCAGACAAGCCGCGCTTGGGAACTATTTAGTGGTTTAACCCCCCAATCCAACCCCTTAATGCTGAGTGTCAAGCAGAGAGGCATTGGGTCCCATTTTTTCAAAGTCTTTGGTATGACCCGACCAGGAGTCAAACCCCTGATCTCCCAGTTTCGGAAATGTATCATGTGACTTTAGCATTACGTGTGATCAGTCTAGTGTAAATATTTAAAGTTTTATTACTTATTAAAATACTATCATAGGATTATAATATCAAGTAATTAATATTCTCATTTCACAGATTGATTGAACATTGAGCTACACATGATTATTTGGACTAACAAAGTTATTTGATTATTATTTAAATAGAAACAGTTCTTCTTCTTTCTTCTTTCCTGTGCTGTCCGGAGAAGCAACAGTTTAGATAAGACCACCGAGCATGAGTGGCCTTGGCCCATATCTTGTAGATTAGGCTTGTGCCAGAAACTTATGGTTTTGCTTGGGCAGAGCAAATAGAGCAGGGCCTTTTAGGTCAAAGATGGACAATTCATCACGCTACAATATATTACAATACATTCAGTCAGACATTAGCGATATTTTTAGACTGGATTTAATATAGGAGAATTCAATAAACAGTTCAAACTGATGTTTAACATGAGGTAAATGAACCATAATAGAGGGATTTACATTTCAATGGTGGAAACAAAACCCATTGCACACTGCTGTCAACTAATGGTCTAACTAATTGCACCAAAATAAACGAAAATACATAAATGTTTGCATGTAAATTCTTCCAAAAATTAGATACACTGCTTTAAAAAATGTATGTATTATTGCAGGTAAAAAAAATCACGATAGATTGCAATATCGATATTTGCTATACACAGCTTTTGAATATTAATATAATATCGCTAGAACAAAATTCACGATATATTGCCATATCAATATTTCCTTACATCCCTAAAATGAACTAAAATGTAATTTGGATCATAATTAAACATCATGTTTATTTCTTTGGTAAAAAAATTCTGAATTTATTTGTTGTTGCCGAAACTTCATTGCAGCTGTTTTCTGTTTGCCTTCAGTCTCGTAATGTCTTTGGTGAAAAATCATCTCATTCAGTTGTAAGTCAGTTGGTCAGTTTGTAAAATATGCTTTGGCTTTTTAGATTTTAGTTTGTTGTCAGCTGGTTTTTCAGTTTTCCATATTTGCCTAACCATTCAGTTCCTTTTCTGTTTTAACTGCTGTTTTAATTCAGGGGTACCTAATCCTGGTCCTGGAGGGCCAGCACCTTAGTTTTAAACCTACTTCAACTTAGCTGATTTCAATCAGCAGGTAATTAACAGGCTTCTGCAGCACCTGATGAGCACAGGTGATTCAGCCACTGAATCAAGCGCAATGGAGCAGAGAAACCACTAAAACATGAGGATACCAGCCCTCCAGAACCAGGATTGGGCATCCCTGCTCTAATTCGTTTATACTTTGCAGGAAAAAAAATTGTATCGTATTTTTCAAAATTTTCATCTTCTTGTTTGAATAACTATGTTCTTTCTTTTCAAAAAGGTTATCTTCTCTCTTATTTCTTTCCAGTGCCTTTCTAAGGTTAAACCTTTCAATTAAAATGAGCATAATGTCTGTGCTGCTCTGATAATTGGTCACAATAATTTAATTCTGCACAATGAAATAGTGATGCATAGTTTTACCTCCATATATTAAACCACAAAGAGACTGAAAAGTGCAAAGTAAAATACCAAACCAAGAAAAAGCAGTAGGCACAAGCTCACTTTTTGGTAAATCAGCTGACTGAACATATGACAGAGTATTTGCAGTCAGCACTGTGGCATTAAACATCCAGCTGAGTATTTGTCACAGAGCGACCCCTGCTGGCCGTAGGGATGAGGTACTTCTAGTGGCAGACTGATTCCGTTTGATGTGAGAAGGTTACACCGACTGAACACTGAAGCTGCAGTGTTTCAAAACAGCTATGTTCCATTTTCAGATCTTTGAAACGGAGCTGAAGGACCAGGAGAGGGAGGTGTGCTTCGTTGACATTGCCTACGATGAAATCCCTGAGCGCTACTATAAGGAGTCCGAGGTGAGTGTGCGTAGGAGTGTGTGTGTAGATGCTCATGACCAGTCCAGAGTAAACACCACCAGACGAATGTAAACTGCTGTAATTCTTCTGTAGACAACTTTGTGTCTGTTTTATTTTGTCATCCAGTCACTCATGGATTTTATGGGTTTTTTTTTAGATCTTTTTCTCTGAATGAAGCTCATGATCATAGTTTTAGCGCTTGAAACCATATTGTTTCATCTCAATTGAGCCTGGATTTATATTATTTATTAACTATAATGTGTTGGTGTGAATTATGTCCGCTTTTAACATTTGTTTACTCTCCCGAAAGTCAGATTTTCATTGAGATCTCTAAACAGCATTGAATGTTTTGACATTTTTAGAATCCGGAAGATTTTCCAGCTTTTTTTTTTTTTATTATTATTATTTTTTTGCTCAAAATTGACAAATTCCTTCCGATGGGAAGTGAAACTTTTTCAGAAAAAAAGTCGAGTCATTTTAATAAAAGTTCCCTGGTTCATGACTTCACCCCTCCCGCCTCCGTAGGACCTGCGATATTTCAAGTCGGAGAAGACATCGAGAGGCGTGCTGCAGGAGGGATGGAGGGACACGCAGGAGCCCATCATGTGCTCCTACAAACTGGTCACAGTCAAGTTTGAGGTGTGGGGTCTGCAGACGCGCGTGGAGCAGTTTGTACACAAGGTAAGAGCTGTTCACCAAAATTGCTATAAAGACAAAGAAATCAACATTACAACTATAATATGACTTACTTACTAAAATAAGTTCAGCTGTTATGCTGTTCAGTAATAAACGGGTAAAAAATCTGTTTTAGGTGGTTCGAGACGTGCTGCTGCTGGGACACAGGCAGGCGTTCGCTTGGGTTGACGAGTGGATCGGTACGTCTACAAGCTCATTACCAACTCCTTTAACTCTGTCATGCATTTCCTCACAACAAAACCTTTGCATCTGCCTCCAAATTCTTCTGAAATCACGCCGCAGCTGTTTATTTAATATCAATGAGAACTCTTTAAATATTTGAAACTTAGTGACAGTTTATGCACAAATCATCATTCCGCCTGTATCTCACCTACAGCATGGACCCACTCAGGCATGAACAGCCCACATTCCTGTTCTGTTTTGCTGCAAAGAAAGTGAACAACATGGATTATAGATGTCAAAATCCAATCCAAAATACAGGAAACTCATTGTAATGTTGATTGTTTTATTATAATAGCTCAAGTTAAGGCCTAGTGGTCCTTCTAAGATCATTTAGTGGTTGTTTTGGTCAGATGCTGAGTGTATTGTTGTCTCCTGCATCTGTCGGAGCTCAAAGTGATTTTCAGCTGCTACGACATCAGATTTAAGCTCATCATCTGTAACATGACATGTTTGTGTGCATGATATCAGGAAAACCTGCAATGCACGATAAAAGTGATTAAAATTGTGATAACGATATGACTTGCAATAAATAAAAAAACTTAACTCAAGATAAAAAAAAAACTCATCAATAGGAAAAGCAAAAATTGGGATCAGAAAATGTGAGGAAAGGGGAAAAGGAAATGAACAAGATAAGGCAATCAGTGGATCCTGGGAAAAGCAGAATCAGCAGAAAGCAGAATGAAGCTAACTCAGGTGTTTGTTAGCCATAAGTGTTGTCTGCCTGGGGGGGGGGGGGGGGGGGGGGCATCCAACCAATAAAAACCCACTCGATTGGCCAAATGGGTGAAGAGGTCTATTTGATTTGTGAAAAACTTCATGCTTCCGTTTGACAAAACACATAATGTGTAGCAAACATTTGAGCTGACCATTCAGTGCGCATGCCAATATCGCGCTGACCGATGTATTTTACAGCCCTACTAGACATCTTGAATTAGGCTGATTCCAAAATGTGAAATAATTAGTTTTACACCCAATAATTACTTTGAGAGTTGTGGTCCATAATTTACTTTAAAGATGTTGACTAAAAAAAAGGTGTTTATTAAAGCAGATCGGTCTCATGTTTTAAATGGAGCCACTTGCTCCAGTTGCATCAAGCAGCTACTGACAATTGACCAGAGTAATGAATGACGTGAGCTGAAACATGAATGCTGCTTCTGTCTAAAGAGCAGCCCTGTGTAATCGTTTAAGTGCCTACTGTTCATGTACTTGTCCTCAGCTCTTCACCTTCTCAATGTCTGCAGCCAACTTAGAAAATAAGCCTCTTTTTCTCTGACATGACACATAACGTTAATATTTCTTGAAACCTGGATGCTTCCTAATACCTTTCTCCTGTGGAGTAGGTGAATGTTTGTTTTTCTTTCTTTCCGTGAACAAGCCTCTTCTTCCTTATTCTTAATCTTGAATCATCCTCGACTTCCTCTTTCGTTCCCTTCTCCTTTTGACTTGGATTTGTCTCCCCTGCACACTCTTTGGGTTCTGGGGAGCCCAGCTCTAACCTCATAGTCTTTAACCTCAATCAAAGCTTGTCCTGCCCAGCAAACCTTCGTTTTTCCTTGTCTGTTTCTCATCTGGAATGCAATTGGGTTTTATTTTGGAGGAGTAACAACATTTCGACCCTCGTTACACTCTTACCCCGCCCCCTCTTATTACAGATATGACTTTGGATGATGTGCGGGATTACGAGAGAAAAATGCATGAGAAAACCAACATTAAAGTTTGTGATGAGCAGACAGACCATTCCACCACAACCCCAACTTCACTGGACGACATAGAGATCCATGACAAAGCAAGAGTACGTGTTTTTTCATCGTTTTTGCTTCATTGGTCCCTCTTCTCTCTGTCTCACATTTGCACAGTTGCTAAGCTCCATGTGAAGCTGTCCTCATGGATCCTCTCTTTCTGTCTCGGGTCGTTTAGTCCTGAAAAGCCAGAATAAAAAGCACAGGATGATTTAACTTTAAAATGGTTGGTTTGTGCCAAACATGGTTATATAAATATGAGCTTCTGGTACTGACCAGAATACATGTTTGTTGATTAAAACTGCAGCTTTAGGAAAAGTCTTTAACTGGTCTTTAATGGTGAAAAGAAAATGCTCACAGGGGTGTTTTTTTTTAACTGAATTAATGAGCAATTGGTCTCGGGCTTCAAATAGGTTTTCATCCTTATTATTTTGCTAACAAGGGTTTATGTGTGCCTCAAAACTAGAGGTGGGAAAAATGATCGATTCTAAGATGCATCGCGATTCAGCCGTGCATGATTCTGCATCGATGCAGCAACGTGACATAATGAGATTCTCTCCCTATGTCTATGTCGGGGGTCGGCAACCGCGGCTCTTCCATCCATCTGATGCGGCTCTCTGTGCTTGTAAAATAATGAATGGATACTTAAATAAAATGCTTTATATTTTACTGCATTAATTTTACATCTGTAAGCTAATTCTAAATGTAAAGATTGTCTGCGTAAACCTGAACAGCTCCAACCTGGTCTTACTGTGAGACCGGGTTGACGCGTCACGCTTGTGCGTAATCATAAAGGCGCATTCTGAGCTGAAGAGGATGTGAGATTCTGGGATTCTCCTCAGACGCCACATTGGAGACAGGAACAAGCGCTATTCAGCCAAAGTTTCATAATCAGGGAACATTTTCTAAGTGACAAGTCTCGCTTCAGTCGGAGGAATCTTCCTGCATGCGCTTTGGTTCTGCGAGGTGCTCCAAGCCCCTCTCCACAACTTCAGCTCGCTGTGCGCCGTACGCGCTGACAGCGAGCTGTGCTGAGCTCCGTGTCAAGCTCAGATGGGAATAATTTCTTAAGTGATTTAGCTACATCTGCGCGAAACGAATAAAGTGTCAGTTCATCTGCTTGCGTCGGGGTGGTTCTTTCTATTCTTTCTCCGTCAAAATAAACGGTTAAATACGGGAACTATCCGGTCAACACAACACAAGCCCTGCTTTTAACTGATCTGTTTTCTTGTGAAAATTGTTGCAAAGAGATATAATTTAACTTGATTTACAGCAGAGCCAGGCGCACTGCGCCGTTATCTCCGTCACTGTAAATGAGGGAAAAACAAAATGATTGGATCCTTTTCTGACCTTCCCCACCTACAAAGTTTAATTACAACAATCAAATGTGACAGAGCCTGGATTTGTATTCTGAACAGTCTAAACATGTTTTAAAAAGAAACGTATGACAAAAGTGGCACCTGCTCAGTAAAACCACCAACAGGGTGAAAAATATCAAAGTATTGTAGGCAGAGACGGGCTAAAACTTCTGGATCCACTTTATATAAATCGTTTTATTGATTATCGTCTTATGAAAGATAACTTTGACGTACACGAGCGACCGGTACTGGCTGCTGTCACCTGTTGTGAGCAGCGCTCTGCTGTCTGAGGGTAGGCCCCGCCCACAACGCCGCGGCTGCTGTGGCTCCCAGTGTTTTCTTTACTGTGGGAAACGGGTAATAATGGCTCTTTGATGGGAACAGGTTGCCGACCCCTGGTCTATGTCTATGCAGGACAATAACGTTTTGAGGTTTTACAATTACTTCTGGGGGCAGAGTTGCAATGACATGTGCACTGCGTTGCCCTAGCGCCAATTTAAAACAGAAAAGGCGGACAGGGATACAGGGCCAACAGGGCCAACATTACCAGTAATCAAAGATGTACCCGTTACATGTAAATTGGATGTCTGGGCTAATTACGGTTTTGGGATCCTGGATGTGAAAGAATCACTTAACACAGTATTTGTTTACTATTTTTAAGTTCAGTAATGTTCTGTCTTAAAGCTGCTCTACCGAAAACATTATTTCTTGAATTATTTAAGTAATTATAGGCAGCACACTTTAAACATTATTGCTCACTATAGTGAATAGATGAATGTTCTGTTTTTCAGGGATATCGAAATAAAAAAGAAATTGAAAACTATTCTACTGCTTTTATTAAGTAATGAAAATTTTTGTGTGAAGAATCGTGATGCATTTCAGACTCAAATCGAATCGTTAGGCAGATAATCGGAATCGGATCGAATCGTGAGGCAGGTAGAGATGCACACCACTACTCAAAACTCTGATGACTTTGAAATATTTCTTCTGAATTCCTTTTCTGAATATCCGTGGCTCTTTGAAGGCCAGAAATGGTGAAATCTGAATAATTTTCCAAAAAGGGTCACTGAATTACACATGTTTACACTTTTTCCACGTCGATAAAATGAATCTGGTATTATGAAACATGTTCATTTTAATGCAATTTTATAAAATATTTTTGACTTTTGTTTAGGTCGTGCCTTTTGTTTAAATACCCTACACTGAATATTATTGTTTTCATTTTAGACATACAGCATTGTCTGTTTTTAATTCATTTATTTTTACCTGGTAATAAATTGTGTGCATTATAAACTTTCTGGTTAAATCACTTTTTAGAATAAATCATTAACATAATTTAAAAAAATAGCATATTTAACAAACTGGGTCTGTTGATTTGGAAATCTCAAACTAACTCAAACACCTAATTCTTCTCATTTTTATTTTTCCAATCCAGACATGACAATGGATGAGGTGAGAGAGTTTGAGCGCACCATCCAGGAGGCCACCAACCAGAAGATTGGGGTGTTTCCCCCATCGATCTCCATAAGTGAGATGCCCCTGTCCTCCTGTGCCCTCACCGGTCCTGCAAGCGCCCCCTCAACTCCCATGTGCACTGATGCTCCAGAGTCTCTCTCGGTTCCCAAGGACCGTCCTCGCAAAAAGTCTGCTCCCGAAACCCTGACCCTACCTGACCCTGCTCCGAGTGCAGCTTCCCAGGGCTCTTCCTCCAACCAATTAGCCATGTCTAATCACCTTCCGCCGTCCACGCCGCCTTCCAACTCTGACCCTGATGAAGTGGGCGGCCATTAAAACAGTGGAACGTCTTCCCTCCACCCTTGTCGCCCCTTCTTAACCTGTTGTCTTATGAGCCCAATGAGACCAATCTTGCCTCCAAGCACCAGTGCCCTGACATTCAAGTTCCTTAGCCATATTCAGGGATTTACCATAATCCTAAACACAGCATTCGTTTCCAGAAGTCCTCATCCTGTCATTAGGTCAGCTGTAGACTCACTGAGTCTAACCAGTAAACCTCCACCTCTTTTTTTACAAACATGTTTATAAAAAACCAATATCTTTTTCCTCACATTCCTTTTGTAAATCAATAGTTTATTTACTGTTTTCCTGGTTGTGTTCAATCAAATGAGCTGGCCATGATTTTTACCTGATTTGTAAAGTAGTTGCCTTGACACCACAGAGCCACTGGAAACTAAGTGCAAGTAACATGTACAAATGAAATAATACCGTCCATTTTAGTCTTTCAATTGATTGTGTTACGCTAGAAATCGGCTTAATGACTTGTGCTAGACTAGAGCGGTAGAGAGGCAGTCATGTTGGATCAGATCCACTGGTTTTTAGTTGTTTAAACTGGCCTTTGGGTCAGACTAGACTTGCTCGTTTTGTTCCAAACTATAAAGCTACAAGCGATGCAAATTCTGTACAATCACTCCAAAACTTCACCTCAGGTCTCCCCAAACGTGCATCTAGATCACAATCCAAAGGCAGGGAAGTTGCCAAACATATACCTCCACAGAAATTAGAAAGCGGTAACAATTGCATGTTCTACACCAGTCTAAAACTTCAGAATGTTTACAAATCACAGGTATTGAAAATATTGCTGTTGCGGCTGCATTCACAGCTTTAATAGCACTGAGAGGTTGGTGCATAAAGATAAATGTTGCCTAAGCAAATGCTGGACATCTCCCATTTTACAAATGGGATTCGCTTGAGTGAACTCGACAGGATCTTGTGTTGGAACAAAAGGCCAGGAGATTGTAGGCACAAGCTGATTCTTGTGCACAGTCGAGTCAATGCTGGATCTGAAGAAAAGGGCACATGTGTCAAGCTGACTTGAATATGTGCTTCGTTAGGGGCATAGCATTTGCAGAAGTACTAGCACTTATGCTTTGCAAAGCTGGAGCTTTCATAACAGATTTACAACATTTGTCTGTTTTCCTGGCTTGTATTACAAGTTGGCATCAAAACCCCTGAAGGAAAAACAAACCCAGTAATAGACAATTGTATTCTTTCATAGAAAACCCTCCTTTTCCATTCAGTACTATTCAAAGGAATGGTTTAATACGCTGCATGGAATGTTCACTACGTGTCTACAAAATATGAACTAGATACGGTATATGGGTACACTGTGTTAAGCAATGCAACTATATGAAGGAGAAATGTTGAATGCTTCCTTTTAGAAGTTTGAACTCATTTTGTAAAGTTGGAAAATGCTGATTGTGACTGAAACTGACGCATGCCCAGAGAATCTACTGTAGGCCTATAAACTCTTTAAACTCAGTGCCTCTGCATGCTGAAGTCGCATCGGCGTCGACCCATGTGTAAACCAAATTCTCTACAATAGTTCAGGTACCAACTTTTCAAATATTTTTTTTTTGATTGTTGGACAATGGTTTACAATCCATACAGGTAATCCGATTACATTAATACTTGTGTTGCCTCAGCATAGTGGCACTAAAGGGATGTGGTTGGTGTGAGAGCTTAAAGGGATATTTCAGCCAGTTTTAAGGATGGTTTTTGGTAAAAGATTGAATGACTTAATAGATGTGGATACCTTCATGAATGACTTCAGCTTGGATTAATACAGTTTCTGAAATATTTACATGAACACTGTTGACATTGGACCAATTTATACTATTTTGTCGTAGCAGCGTTAAAGCTAGCTCATCAGTCCTGTAGAGCTTTAACTCCATTTCTCTAAACTAAGGCTATTCAGGAAGCCATTTTAAAGTAAAGCTCATTAAAAAGGCTGAAATATTTCTTGAAATTTCAGCTTGCAGTCAGTTTCACTGCTTTAGTTGCATTCCTCTGTGTTTATTTTTGGTTTAGACTCCCTAAACATTACCTTGTTTATCAAACTATAAGACAGAGGTCCATTTCTGGAAGAAGGTTTACTTACATTAAATTCTCTTGTGTAGCTTTTTAAATTAGCCCTTTATCTTTTTTTTCTCCTTCCTGCTTTCGTCTTCGGTCCTCTACTGTTGCTTCAGCTTCACGTTGATTCTTTAAAGCTTGTGTGCTTTCACTGCGGGGGGGGGGGGGGGGGGGGGGGGTTGGAGACGTAGAGGGGTGCAACGTAAACATCACATTACACATTCAAGCTTTTTAAGTAATGGGGCTAACTTAATGCGTTTTGGGAAATACCTTATTTTCCGTTTTGATCTTTTTGGATTATAAACATTACAGCATTAGCACTTTCCAGTCTTTGACACCTTAAATGACAATAAAGGAATGTGTTTACTTTATCCTTGGGTTTATTTGACCAAAACTTTAAAAGTGAAGCTCAAACAGAAGGTCTTCAGTGCTTTTGCCATAGTTCCAATAATTTGCGCAGCTTTTCACTTACATTTCTTTCAAAATAAATCAAAACCGTAGCTTCTTAGCTGTTACAGTAAATTTTGTCTTTGTGTTTTAAAGAGGAAAATGCTATTAACCAGCTATCATCCCTCTGCTAGTGTCTGTACACTTACCAGTCTGGTACTGACCACCTCCTTCGTCAGGAACGCAGCAATCCAGGGACACGTTTGATCCACCGTGGGCTATTATTAAATATCAGCTCTGTTTAAAAGAGTAGCACAATAGCTGTTGTAAATACTGCTGTTAATAATTGTAGATTTCTTACATTGAGCCTGTTCCAAGTTTCATTACTGATGTGCCATGAATGTGGTCTGAGATTTAAAAATGGACGAGAAGGATTTTTTTTTGTGTGTGTGTATGTGATGGTTCAATCTGGAAGCTGACTTAATGTGTTTTTAATCAATGAAGTTGTTACTTAATGAGCGTATTGAATTCAGTTACGTTTATTCTCATTTCAATATGAAGATTCATTGTAGTTGTGCACTTTTTTTTGTTGCTCTCCAGCTGTTTCTGACTAACCCTGCAGGGGCAAACTGATTTTCTGAGTTGTGAAGCAGTTTGAGGCTTTGCATTTTAGTGACGTGGCTGCTTCGATGTTCACATGCCATGTTAAATAGGAGGTGATTCCGTTTTCTAGTAAAACCTGCTGTACTTTGATTTCGTGATTTAGCTGTTTTGCATTTCACTCCTCTCCTCCTCCTCATGCAGTTTGAATTCAGCCAAGTGGTTTAGCCATCTCCTGAAACCTGGGATCTGTCTCAATTATCAGAATCAGTGATTTGCTGGTAGATACGCCCGAGTTAAAACCTCTCTGATGATGTTCCGTAGGCTCGGTGATGAATCCAGCACTTTCTGCTTTGTGATGCAGACCCCAGTGGTGCCATTCTTGTTTAGCTGCTGGAAGTTGCTCTTTGTTCTTCCACTTTAATGATTAATTATGTTGTACTTATTATATTTTTACTGACCTTTAAGGTTCACTTGGTTCTTTGTTGTAATTATTGTTTAAAGTTTTCTTAAACAGATAAATAAAATTTGTTAGCTATTGTGACTGTGTTACTCTTTATTTTGTTTATAGAAGTTTTACAGGTGAATCCTAGCCTAGTGAACTAGACCAAATTCCTGCTTTGCAAAGTCTGGCTAGCCAGGCTAGGTGAATCCTGAAAAATTTAAAAATGGTGCAAAAGTTCCTTTATTTCAGTAATTCAGCTTAAAAGGTGAAACTAATATATGAGATACTCATTCCATGCAAAGCCGATATTTCAAGCCTTGATTTCTTATAATTGGGATGATTGTGGCTTACAGCTAATAAAAATCCCAAATGCAAAAATTCCAGACAATTGGAATCATGTGAGAAGGTTCAATAAGTGTCACACTCTAATCAGCTCTTTAATCCAAACCATGTGCAAAAGGGTTCATGAGCCTTTAAATGGTCACAGTCTAAGCTGAATTACTGAAATAAATGGACTTTTATGCCATAGTCTTGTCGTTTGCGTTTCACCTGTATATAAAACACTTTAAGTCAACTGTGTTTACAGGCAAAGATGGAGGGCAACAGTAAGTTTTATTTGAGGCCAACGTGTTTAAAATGTCCAGAAGGTTGATTATAGAAGCAACCCTAACTACCTGTTGATCTACCGCTCTCTCTCTCCTTCCCTCACCCGTGAGCAACACCTTGACATACTTCAACTCCACCACTTGAGGTGGGACCTCTACCCCCACCTGGAGTTGGCACTTCATCCGTTTCCAGTCAAGAACCATGGTCACATATTTGAAGATGCTGATCTTCATCCCAGTTACTTCACACTTGGCTGTGAACCTCTCCAGTAAGCATTGAAAAACATTTTTATGGAGCTAAGAGGATAACGTCCACCGCAAAAAGCAGAGATGAGAGCCTTCTGCAACCAAACTCTCCACCCTCCAACTCATAGCTGTGTGTAGAAAATCTCCCCATAAAGACAATAAATAAAACTGGTGACAAAACAGCCCTGGCGAAGTCCAGCCCTCACGAAAAAGGTCCGACTTACTGCCGGCAAAGCAAACTAGGCTCATACTCCCTTGTTACAGGGACTGAGTGGCTGTGAAAAGAGAACCATCCACCTCATACTCCTTAGGTGACCCTGAGAACATGGTCATAAGCCTTCTCAGATCCACAAAACATGGACTGGTTGACATTTTTTTGCCCCGTCCAGCACCCTCGCAAGGGTAAAGAGTTGGTTCCACGGCCAGAACAGAAACCACATAGGCAAGGCAAGGCAGCACATTTCATCCAGCAATTCCATGTGCTTTCCAAATAACAAGAACATTAAAAATCAACATGACAAAAAGTACACACAAATTAAATTTTGATTTAATAATTAAAACAAAGGGACACAGTTTAAGACTGAGCTGTTACAGGGCAGAATAGTCATTCATAGGCTAATGAATACATGAAGGGTTTCAATTTTGATTTAAAAGTTACCAGAGTTGGGGCACATTTGAGTTCATAAGGAAGCTGATTCCATCTGTGAGCAGCATTGTAGCTAAACGCAGCTTCACCATGTTTGGTTCTGACCCGGGGTTCTACCAGCTGACTTTTCTAAGGATCTTAGAGCCCTGCTGGGCGTGTATATACAGGAAGGAGATCCAACTTGTATTTTGGCCCCATGCCATTGAGTGATTTATAAACTAGTAGAAGCACTTTGAAATCAATGCTGTAGTTTACTGGTAACCATTGTAGAGATTTAAGAACAGGAGTGATGTCCTCGGTTCTCTTGGTTCTTGTTAAGACTCTAGCAGCATCATTCTGAATAAGCTAAAGTTGCTTCACAGCATTTTTGGGGAAGACCAGACAAAAGACCATTGCAGTTGTCCAGCCTGCTGGAGATGAACGCATGAATAAGTTTCTCTAGGTCTGGTCTGGACATGTTGAAGATGAAGATGATAAAACCAGCTCAGGTTTCTTATGCAGCCCCACTAACATGCTTGACCAAGCAGTAAAACATGTCCCCCCATTCAACCAACAAAATAAAATACAGAAATATAATTTTACTTAATGATAAAGAAGCGAAAGCTGCTTGAATTTTCTGTTAACAGTTAATTCCCACAGCTTGCTCTCTGTGTCCAAATGATTCCATGATTAACATCCAAACACAAACATACACACAGAGGACACAACCAAAGTTCAGAGAGTCAAAATAGCCCAACATTTATTGACGTGAGGCCGAGGCCTTGGCTCTTTCCCCAGAGCTTGCGGCTCAGATGCTCATTAATTATTCAGAATTTTAAGCATTTAATTACACTTAAACAGAAGAGTTACGAAAAAAACTAGATCTAGTACATCTAATATGTTTATTTCAACCAGGCTGTAAACATGTTTATTGCTGTGAATTTGGCATGTTTAACATTGAAGTCAATGAGGATTTGCCCACTTCTGGTTCCAGCCTCTAGCGGAGAGTGGAATTGCAATTTTTGTCACTTCCGTGATGGCTTCAAAAACTAACGACCAAAATGGCCCCTTGGACTGAACTTATAGAGCATCTGAGAACCGGACTGTGTTTGCAGGGATGTGAACTTTATCATTTCTTAAATTTCTCTAAAGTAAACCGTCACTGGTAAGTTACATTAAAAATGTGTTCACAATCCTGTACAGACCACTTGATGGCGCCCGAGTAGAAATCTGGAGCTGCCTTTGTTCTCTAACACGTCCTCTAGTGTGACATAAAAGCCCTCCACCACTGCAAAATAACCATTGAGCTCATTTCTCATCATCATGTCTGGAAGAGGCAAGGGAGGCAAAGGACTCGGTAAAGGAGGCGCTAAGCGTCACCGAAAAGTTCTCCGTGATAACATCCAGGGTATTACCAAGCCCGCTATCCGGCGTCTGGCTCGCCGTGGTGGAGTTAAACGTATCTCCGGTCTGATCTACGAGGAGACTCGCGGAGTGCTCAAGGTGTTCCTGGAGAATGTTATCCGTGACGCAGTCACCTACACCGAGCATGCCAAGAGGAAGACCGTGACCGCCATGGATGTGGTTTATGCTCTGAAGAGGCAGGGACGTACCCTGTACGGATTCGGAGGTTAAATACGACTTCCTTTCAATCACCAAAGGCTCTTTTCAGGGCCACCCAATCATTACTAATGAGCATAATATTTCTTGTCAAATCCAAGTGTGAACGAAACGTTTTTTTAAGACTTGTAACTTGATTTTACACTGACTAACAGACATAACCAACTGTTTGATGGTGCAAGATTTACTTGCGCCACTCAGTCAGAATAAAGCCCCAGTCCAAAAAGCTGAACATGGGTGAAACATTAACATTGAGGAAAAAAAATCACGAGGTGCTACATAATATAAGGTTACAGAAATACAAGTGAGAAATAAAACGCGATTAGAGAAACGGATCACCTGAATAATAATTGGAACTCTCACTTAAGGAAACTGGTACTTGGAGCTCAGCCAAGCCCCAACATTGCAGGTGAAAAAATGAAGTCAACACAGATATGAAATAAATTGCAGTTCCACACTCATCCACTAGGGGCTGGTATCCGAAGCGAGCAAATCCTCATTGACTCCCATGTTAAAAATACCAATTTCACAGCAGAAATAAACATGTTTACAGCCCGGTTCCAAAACTTGTTTTTTGATTAAATGATCTAGTTTACACTCATGACAACTCTGAGGGGGGTGGATTTTTTTCTCACTCTTCTGTTTAAGTGTATTAAAAGCCTACAATGCTGTATAATTAATGAGCATCAGATCCACGTGACCACAGAGCTAGCTCCGTGGAAAGGCCTCAGTTGAGCCTCGGTCTGGCTTGGAAACTGTTCCGGGATTTTGAGTCTCTGTGTGTGTGTATTCTTTTTTGGATATCATTTGTGCAACTGTTGGACAAAATGACTCGCTGTGGCATTAATTGCACTAATAGAGCGTCCAAGGAGTCTCCACTTCATTTTTTTCAGTAAGTAAAATTATATTTATGTATTTTAGGTCACTGCCGCTCTTGCACTAGCTGAGCTTAGAAGCCGCGATCAGACGGAACCTGTGACATGGTCAAAATGGCGGTGGTGGCCACCTCCCATTTTTCTTCAAAAACGTGTTATTGGAGTCTGTGGAAACCCATTGTCCAATATTCATATGTCGAAGGGCTCAGCTCACTAATGAACCAGCTCTAAAACGGCTTCTCATACTGAAGGAATTTATCACCAAAAATTATACAGAACTGTATGGGGTGCCAAGTGTAAGTTGTTGGTACAAGTTATTTAGCAGACATTTTATTGACATTCAACTCAAACTGCTGGTGCAAATTATTTAGCTTAGCTTAGACTTTTTTATATTTAGCTAATTTTTCCTACATTTAGCAATACTTTTAACATTTAAAATGTTTAAATGTCAGAATTTCAGATAATTTAAATCTAAACTTAGATGTTAAAGGCCCTGTATTTGAAATCCATTGAAATGATGAAAAAATTTGACTCTTTAGCGCCATGCAGTTCAGAAAAAGTGTTGCAGCTATGGTGGCTCACTCATGAGTTTGATTGTATAATCAATTTCCAACCTGTGTAGCCTAACCCCCAAATTCCACTACCTCCGCTCCGGTCCGCCCCCGCCCTCCGCAGCCGCTCGCTTCCGAACTCAATTTTTACTGCTACCCGCTCTACAACGGCTCCGCTCCGGTGCGGAGACCTGAGGTGGGCAAACAGGCATGCGCGGGATTTTCGAGATCTTGCGATACAGTCCGAGCAATAAACGCGGAAGTTAGATCCAAACACCCGTTGTGTGGGAGAAGCATCGAAATGAACTGTTTAATCTGCCCATCATTTGTGTTGAGAGATCAGCAGTGTTTGGATCAACAAAGTGTGACTACTTTGATAGTAGAAACTGTATTTATGGCTTACTTTTGTGCATTTAAAGTTCAGCCGCCATTGATAGTTGTTAAAAGTTGTTAAACCTGTGCATATGAAACAAAAAAACGCCTTTTGTTTATCGATGTATTGTGAAAAACGGAAGTTGTGCCCGCTCCTTTTCCTGTTGGGCGGTTGTGATTTCTGTCCATTTACTGCGGAGGTGCTCCGGCGTCCGGCAAAAATAGGATCGATTCTATTTTTGTTGGACGCCGGAACAGAGGGCGGCGCACGGCGCTGCACTGCCGGAGCACGGCCGCAGTAGTGAAATTGCTCTGATTGATTGAGCGGAGGTAGTGAGCCCTCACAAAGCTTTAAACAAGCTACTCAACCTCTTTAAAAAAAAAATATATAATTATGACTGTTTATCAACCTACCAGTTCTGACGGAAGCCAGCTAGTTCTGTTCTTGAAGCTGTCACGATTCACACACGTCAGCCGGGAGGTCAGGTGCTGTGAGAAATTGTGTTCCCCTGAAATATTCTGTTCCCCCCATGTCGGGAGGTCGCACTTCTGGCTATTTTCACAAAATTTGTGATAAACCTTTATAGGAAAATGATGTAATGCAATGTAATAATGTTATGCTTGTGATTTTTTATCTGTATTTCCTCCTAAAAACAATAAAAAAGATACAGTAAAAACATTCTTGTTCACTTTGCAGCAAGCTTATTTATAATTTTAGAAATTTATGTAAAAAGATGTAATCTCACTCAGTTTAACCATCTTTTATTTCAGGTACTTTAGACCTCATAAATGGACAAAAAGTTCTGTGGATTTGGAAATATTTGCTCTCGACTGTCTAAGGGAAACCGAATATTTCAGGAGAACATAATTTCCCACAATACCTGTTTCACATGGTTTACGGAGCGCATCGCGCGATGTAAACAAGCTGGCTGCCGCTACCAGCTTATACGGATATGGAGCGACCACTGGCTGATCGTTAAGTGCGGCTGGTGAAGGAGTGTTTGTGAGCTGGGGACATGCTGGAGATCAAGTAAAAATGCTGACTTATCCACCGTGGCTCACAGCTGGCATGGTGGAGATGGGCATCACGAGCTACCGAGCAACTAGTTAGCAATGGCTAGAGCCGGGGAGAAACGTCTTCAAGAAACCAAAGATGTCCAGCTGCCTTCATCTGAACACTTTTGGATCACCATGACATGGACGACTGAGCCTTCACCAGCACAGGGGGTCTCGCCCTACTCGTGACATTTGCCTTTTTTGTTAGTTTTGTCCCTACTGATATTTACAGGCCTCGTCACTTAAATTCTCTTATGTAATTCATAAACTTCTAAAGGCAGTGATAAAATTCCAGCATAAAACTTCTAGTATTGTCTGAATTAAATGCAAGCCTGGAGTTATTATTGGAAATCAGCTACTACAAAAGATTTTAGCTCTATAGGAAGAGTGTGTGGCTCTTAAAAGAGCCGTTGTGGGGCTGGTAGCAGCGGTGAGAGGCAGCAGCTTTACTTGGTCTTAGCGGGCTTCTCAGTCTTCTTGGGCAGCAGCACAGCCTGGATGTTGGGCAGCACACCACCCTGAGCGATGGTGACTCCACCCAGCAGCTTGTTGAGCTCCTCGTCGTTGCGGACGGCCAGCTGCAGGTGACGGGGGATAATACGAGTCTTCTTGTTATCACGAGCAGCGTTTCCAGCCAGCTCCAGGATCTCAGCAGTCAGATACTCCAGCACTGCAGCCAAGTAGACCGGGGCGCCGGCACCGACACGCTGAGCATAGTTGCCTTTACGCAGCAGCCTGTGAACACGACCTACTGGGAACTGGAGCCCGGCACGGGAGGAGCGGGTCTTGGCCTTAGCTCTGGCCTTGCCTCCGGTTTTACCACGACCACTCATTGTTATAATTACTTTATCGAGGAGAAGTACGGGAAATAATGTCTATCTGAAGCCAAAACTCTCCTTATATGTCCGCACAGCGGAGAGAAAGTGGCGGCAGCCAATCGTGATAGCTGGAGCGGAGGGGGAGAGTCTGAGCGGCTTTTTCAACACAGCGTGTCTCCAATAAGCAGCCAGCATTCAGGCGGGGAGCCGCTGCTCTGGGCGGGGCTGAGCTGCAGGAGGAGACGGTCACCAATCAGGAGCTGAAGCCGTGAAGCAGCGTCACCGTCCCGCTGTTTAAGAGCAGCGACTCTCGGCTGGTTCAACTTATCTTTTTCTCCGCTCCAGAGAAACTACTTACCATGGCTAGAACCAAGCAGACTGCTCGTAAATCCACCGGTGGCAAAGCCCCCAGAAAGCAGCTGGCCACCAAGGCAGCTAGGAAGAGCGCTCCCGCCACCGGAGGCGTTAAGAAGCCTCACCGTTACAGGCCCGGCACCGTGGCTCTCAGAGAGATCCGTCGTTACCAGAAATCCACTGAGCTGCTCATCCGCAAGCTGCCCTTCCAGCGCCTAGTCCGAGAAATCGCTCAGGACTTCAAGACCGACTTGCGCTTCCAGAGCTCGGCTGTCATGGCTCTGCAGGAGGCCAGCGAGGCTTATCTGGTGGGGCTCTTCGAGGACACCAACCTGTGCGCCATCCACGCAAAGAGGGTCACCATCATGCCTAAAGACATCCAGCTGGCCCGCCGCATCCGCGGAGAGCGAGCATAAAGTCTCACAGCTAACAACACTCAACGGCTCTTTTAAGAGCCATTCACCACTTCATTACAGAGCTTTATTCTTCAGTTAGTATTTAGGCTGAAAAAGCATACAGATATAGCCATTTTCATCTACTTTGCCTTTTATTCTCTTGTTTTTGTTTGAAGTGTTTTAATGACTTGCTACAACTTTATCTTTCGCTTTTCCGGTTGCCTGGAAAGGCCTTTAAATAAAGCAAAACAAAATTTTTGCTTTGCAAATTATACATTAATTTAGTCTAGCTTGCCAGGCTAACACTTATGCCTTTTGAACTAACTATTGAAGTGTTTAAGTCCTCATTTAAGCGGAGTTCTCAATTGGACAAAAGCGTTGAAACAAAAAAAAAATTCCAATTGAAACTAAAACTAGAGCCATCTGGATAATTTCATTACATCATTATAGAAACATACCTGTTTAAACACATTTTGGCCTAGACAAACTACTCCAATGTTCAGATAAAAAGAAATTTCGAGAACAAACTACACTTTACAGCTTCAATAAGGACTTTTATTTTTTTGTACAATAAATTTAGTAATTGACCGACTGGAACTGCTTGCTACACTCTGAAATGGAAAAACTTAACATTCATTGGATTCATTAAAATGATCTTGCTGCATAAATCTAAACTATATGGCTGAAGACTTCAAAGGACCGCCAAATGAGTAGATATTTTACGTAAGAATTATTTAAGTAATACCACCAAACTATTTCTGCATTTGAAATTACGTCAACAAATGTAGCTGAACTCCAAAATATTTTATTTAGTTGTTTTACTTTTTAGGAACGACGGATTTACGGTAGATTAAATTAATCCCGCCCCATATGCACCAGCTGGTGTGTTCAACCAATCACAAACGGGAGATTGAGCAGTGAAATTTGCTTCTAGCTTGTATAAATCGAGCGACAGGCGTTACCGTTGTTTAACCACACTGATAAAGATGCCTGAGCCTGCTAAGTCTGCGCCCAAGAAGGGCTCCAAGAAAGCGGTGACTAAAACCGCTGGAAAGGGAGGTAAGAAAAGAAAGAGGACCAGGAAGGAGAGCTACGCCATCTACGTTTACAAGGTGCTGAAGCAGGTCCACCCCGACACCGGGATCTCCTCCAAGGCCATGAGCATCATGAACTCGTTCGTGAACGACATCTTTGAGCGCATCGCTTCTGAGGCTTCTCGTCTGGCCCACTACAACAAGCGCTCCACCATCACCTCCAGGGAGATCCAGACCGCTGTCCGCCTCCTTCTGCCCGGTGAGCTGGCCAAGCACGCTGTGTCTGAGGGCACCAAGGCTGTCACCAAGTACACCAGCTCTAAGTAAACTCCATCAAAAACCCAAAGGCTCTTTTAAGAGCCACCCACATTTTCTACTGAGTATTTATCCTGGTAGCTAATTTAAGTACCGTCTTAAACTGATGGTAGGCTGCACATTATAAAAAGCGTGTTTATTACTTCGCCAACCAAATGCTTTAATTTTAGGAAACTAGGAGCTCAGCGAATGTCACAAGCCTGCATATCTGCACAGCATATGTCAACTATAATATGTACCAGAATGTTTCTATTATATTTCATGCTGCATGGCACATAAGGGAAAAAAAGGAATCAGTCACTAAAAAAATATCCATATAGCAAGCTTACATTGAAACAATATTGACTTTCCATCTGAATCATCAGAATGATTGACACTAAAATCTTGACAAACTAGATGTTGAATGAATGTCAGTGCTGTACGATAATGCAAAATTTGGTATCGATCCGATACCAAGTAAATACAGGGGCTAGTATTGCCGATACCAATACCGATACTTTTTACTACTTGTCTAGTAGTGATGGGAATTCCGGCTCTTTTTAGAGAGCCGTATTTTAGTGCTAAAATGGGAGGTGGCCACCACCGCCATTTTCACCGTGTCACAGGTTCCGTCAAGCCCAGACAATTCCATAAAAGGGAAGAGCTGAGGGTGGAGCTGTAAGGCTGGGATCGACTGATGACACCCGGTCGAACTAGCTACAAGCTAACCCAAAGCTAATGCGGAGGTGGGAGCTAAGCTAACGGAGGTAGCAACCTAGCTACAACTGGAGTTAACTGTGCACAACACCAGAGTTTCTGAGTCAGAGATACGCCGGGCTGACCGCTGCTGACCACTGGGTAAAACCGGGTGGAACAAAGAGGTCTCCGAGACCTCTGTGGAGGACTCGGAGACCTCCACAAGCCAGCAGCTGCACAGCAGACAAGCGCCGCTGTGATCTGAGATGCGTGGAGCTGCCGCTGGGGAGAACCGGGTGGAAAGGTTTCCATCCCAGAGCTCCACAAGCCGTCTGCCCGCGCAGCACACAGAAGCCGCGATCAGATCGAGATGCGCCGAGCTGCGGGGAGAAGTGGCGTATTTTGGCGGTTCTGGCTTGCCATAAGAACCAGCCGTCAGCCCGCGCAGCTAACAGAAGCCGCGATCAGACAGATGCGCCGAGCTGCTGGGAGAACCAGCAGTCAGCCCGCACGCAGCAAACAGAAGCCGCGATCAGACAGAGATGGACCGGGCTGCGGGGAGGGGACAAGGGTGGAAAACAGAAGTCTCCCGAGAGCTCCACAAGCCGATAGTCGGAACCCAGCTCCACCAACATGTTATATTTCAACCCATTTTCTAAAGTGCAGCATTATGTTAAATGCACTGGGTTTTAATTACATTTAAATTTCATGGTTAAACAGTACATGTTCAAATCTAAGCTCAGCTCAGCAGTGACCTAAAATACATAAATATAATTTTACTTACCGAAAAAAAAGAAGTGGAAACTCCTTGGACGCTTTATTAGTGCAATTAATGCCACATCAAGTCATTTTGTCCAACAATTGCACAAAAAAATATCCAAACAAGAATACACACACAGAGACTCAAAATCCCGGAGCAGTTTCCAAGCCAGGCCGAGGCTCTACTGAGGCCTATCTACGGAGCTAGCTCTGTGGTCACGTGGGTCGGATGCTCATAATTATACAGAATTTTAGGCTTTTAATACACTTAAACAGAAGAGTGAGAAAAAATTCACCCCCCTCAGAGTTGTCATGAGTATAAACTAGATAATTTAACCAAAAAACATGTTTTGGTACCAGGCTGTAGACATGTTTATTTCTGCTGTGAAATTGGTATTTTTAACATGGGAGTCAATGAGGATTTGCTCGTTTCTGACACCAGCCCCCAGCGGATGAGGGTGGAACTGCAATTTATTTCACTTCCGGGTTTGACTCAATTTCAGAGCTGCATTGTGGGGGCCTGGTCTGCCAGCCCCCACACAGCCACAACAATGCTTTCTGCTGTTCTGTGCTTGTCTCGTGCTGGCGCGCTGTTTTACTTTTTTTTTCAATGTAACGGCGGACTGCCCAATTGACTGACATAGTTGACGCACTCCAGACATCTGCGTCCTGAGCACGGCCACAGTAACATTATCAAAGTAGGTGTCGCCGCCTCAAAAACTAATTTAACACGCGATCGTTCATGTCGGCTCATTTCCTTTAATGTTTTCTGTCTTTTATTTGCGCCTGATGTGTTTCGCTGCTGTGGAGCGGGGCGCATCACCTTGTCCTCCGGTGACGCACCGATCACTGATGCGGCCGCCAAGCAGCGAGCACTCCGCTGTTTTTGCGGTCGGTAGATCTTTTAGAACTGCAGTTCAAAGGTAACTCATAAGGTGAATATATTTGAACCCAGGTAGCAGTTTTTCTTAAGGATTGAGAGGAGCTGCAGGAGGATAATAAACAGATACAGGACAGAAAAATAGTCAAATAAAAACAAGTTAGTTTTTGTACCTGGTGGTTGCAACAAACAGACACCATTAAAGGTAATCAGAAGTGAAGAACAGAAAATTAAATAATTATTTTAATGTTTAGAGCAGCAGGAACTCTGAGAGGCTGCAGACGCATCAGTGAGTTTGCGGCCGCTGCGCAGGGGGAGGGGGGAGAGGGCTGAAGCAGAAACTACCGTTGTTAAAAGAAATGTGTTTAACTTTGAAAATGTGGGCGCAATTTTAATTGTCAAAAACTCCAGCGAACCAACCAAACTCAAATAGAAATTGAGGCCTGCCTCTAATTCTGGTCCTCCTTCCAATAAAGGCCTGGAGCTTGATGAGCTTGAGTAAAATACAGGCCCGGGCCTGTATTCGAGGATTTGGTTCAGGACAGCAGCGGAACTGAGGCTGGAAAATGGAGTGAACCAATAATCCACTGAACCAACAATAGAGCATCCCGGACCTGGACAATGTTTGCAGGGAAGTGATTGTTTTTGTACATTCTATGAAATAAACCCTCACCAGTGAGTTACACCATTGAAAACTTGTACACAAATCAGTGTCGCCAAACATATCATATGTGTAGGATAATTTAGCCCTCTGTATGATCATAAATTCCACATGTACAATAATTTGAGTTATTCTGAGTAATAAAATACAATCTTCTATTAACACATGAAAAATTACAGTGTTGTACCACTTCATATTTTTTCATATGTAGAAAAAGTACTCAACATTGTTCAGCCAATACATGATGGTAAAATAGGAACAATGTAGAAAAAGTTATAAATGATTGACATTACTGTCTGTTGAGTGCAGACCCATTGTTTATCCACTCCAAACAGCTAGGTGCTGTTCTGTAAGAGATGCTTGTTTCAATCAGTGCTAGATTCTTTAAAGCACAAACTATTTTAAAGAATATAATTTTTCACTAGGCTATTGAAGCTGTGGGTCATCAAACGCGTCAGGATGCAACTAGTGTACAATCGTTTTTCTCAAAATACTACAATTTATTACTTTAAAATTTACCCACACTGACACGAATCCTATTAGGACCACTTGATGGCGCTACCACTGAAGATAGTCCCAGTAGAAGTCTGCAGTCGCTCTTGTTCTCTAACACGTTCTTTAATGTGATAAAAGCCCCTGAGCCTCTAACCCAGCGATATTACTATTAATCGTATCAGTCACTGATCAGCATGTCTGGAAGAGGCAAGGGAGGCAAAGGACTCGGAAAGGGAGGTGCCAAGCGTCACCGTAAAGTTCTCCGTGATAACATCCAGGGAATCACTAAGCCTGCCATTCGACGTCTGGCTCGCCGTGGTGGAGTCAAGCGTATCTCCGGTCTAATCTACGAGGAGACTCGCGGAGTGTTGAAAGTGTTCTTAGAGAATGTCATCCGTGACGCAGTCACCTACACCGAGCATGCCAAGAGGAAGACTGTGACCGCCATGGATGTGGTTTATGCTCTGAAGAGACAGGGACGTACACTCTACGGATTCGGAGGTTAAATGACTTTATGACACTGAAACAAAGGTCCTTTTCAGGACCACCCAAGTCTTTCTGAAAAGAGCTAAGTTCCATAAGGTAGTGTTGAAATAAGTGATAATAGGGGAAATTTCTTCAAGTGTATTGACGAAACGGCGATACGTTATCAATGAACTTTACTGCAGGTACGGTTGCGCAATTTGGAACTGTAGGATGTCAAAGGAAGATCCCGTCTTTCTCAACCAACTGATTGGCTAGAAAGTAGCGATGGGAATTCCGTCTCTTTTTAGAGAGCTGGTTCTTTTCGCTCGATTCACATTTTCTTAAAAAAAAAACTGAAGATCTGGCTGTAACCGCTCAGTGCGGGGAAACTGTTTCCTCTCACAAAATAGCCAATGGTAGGAGAGCCCTTCCAGCCAGAGGTGAGAAAGACGGGACCTTCCATGGACATCTTACATTTCAAATCACGTCAGCCGCGTTTAAACATGTGATCACACAACCATTGGTGGTCCAAAAAAACTGCATGCACTCAGTACAGTATGTGTAAAAATCAAGTTATATTCGGCTCACTAAATTCTTTGAAACTGAACAAGCACAAGTAGCAGTTAGCTCTCTGAACACGACTATAATAAAATTTGTTAGGAGCCGGCTCGTCATTGGGAGCCGTCCCCTCCCCCCTCCCCTCTTGCTTTGGTGAAAGCTACAGACGATTGGTCAACATGTGTAACTGTGTCCAGACTGTCCACACACAGAGCAGTAGGGGCGTGGAAGAGGGAGGATCAGACTCAGGCTGTGTCTCAATTCAGGGTCTGCATCCTTCGAAGGACCCAGCCCACCCGGCCGACGTGGGCTGGGTCCTCCGTCGGCCGGGTAGACCGGATGTTAACGGCTGTGAATTTGGACAGGCCTAGCCTTCATGAACTCCCTCGGCGAACGTTCCGTCGCCTAGCAACCGTGGAACCGCTGGGCAGAAGGGAGAAGGAACTTTAAACGATGGAGCTCGACGTTTTATTTAGCTTTTTAACCCCCAGAGACCCAAATTTAGAAAACAACTGCAAAATCTTTTTTTAACCTTTCACGTTGTTCTAGGAGGCCAGATAAACGGGCCTATTTACACATTTTAACAGCCAATAGTGTTGCAGAACTGAACAATAGGACCTATTAGCAATGTAAATGTTGTTTTAAAAAGAAAAAAATGGGGAAGGTTTATTTTTGTAGACTTAAATCTGATGTTGTAATATTACAACCGTGGGTCTCTGGGGGTTAATCATTTCCTTGACTGTTGGAGAGCTAATTCAGAGAAAATACTTTAGACAAGCTGAGCCTGAGCAAAGATGTGATAATAGTTTTTAATACTTTCTAAGGGTCTTAATTTGACCAAAACCGATTTGTCACCTTTTAAGACTTTTCAAGACCCAGCGGATACCCTCTAGTAAACAATTCTCATTTGTAAACAAAAATAAAATTCAAGAGTTTAATGCAGAACTGATTTTATTTAGATATTTCTTTTATATGTACATGTTTAATCTTCATTAACCATTTTTTTCTAGCAAAGTAAAAAGCTGTCAAAGTTCTTCCTTCTCTCCTGTGCCCTCTGCAGCTCTGCCTCCCTCTGCAGCCTCAAGTCCTCCCTGATCAGCTCCAGAAGCTGGTCATCGCTGGCACCTTCCCCTGGATGCCCATTTTCTCCAGAATAGTCTTAACATGTAAGAAAAGAAACAGGAAGAGAAAAGAGGAAACGGGTTATTCCTTTCATGTTTTCACAGAAAAAATAAACTCAAACGAGTTTTTAAAATATGAGATGTTATTGTACCTCCATGCCACAGCCGCCGAATACTTTGCTCCGGTGATCATGTGGTCCATCTCCGCCCTAAGCTTAATAACTTCCCTGGTTTTCTCTTTTGTTCCTAAAATACAAACTTCTATTAAAATCAGGGGGAAACGTAGCGGGAGAAGTACGACACCGAGCAGCCGAACATACGAGCCGAGACCGCAATACAAGCACTTTTACTGTAACATTTCTAACTAAAATAATGTTCATGTATCACAAAAAGTCCTTAACCTAACAGTTTTAAAGTTTATACTGACATTTATAAGCGCAATCCTCTCCGACAGCTCCGGTTTTCTGCTGGCCGGCTCGCAAGGCATCTTGGGAAATGCTACCTGTTGAAGGATACACCCGACCTATCCTTCATTCAGGCGAAAAGAAGGCCGCATTCGTCGACCGCATTTGAAGGAGTCTTCGAATTGGGACAGGCCTAGTCGCGGCGCTGTGACGTAACCGGCCGACGTAGGATGCAGACCCTGAATTGAGACACAGCCTCAGACACACAGCAGAGCACATGCGGGTGAAGGGAGACGAGAGGGAATGAGGAGGAAAAAGCCGAGTGAGAGTAAGAGTGCCAGGAAGACTGAGAAAATGAGCAGCCAGCAGTCGGAAAGTTGAGATTTCAGTTATTAAATCCATCGAGATGATAAATATTTGATGTATTGCATTTTTTACATTAGTAAATCATTTAACGTGTAGTTACATTATTTTGGTTATAAATGTACTCTATGCAACAGAAAATCTGAAAAGCCACTTGGGAGCCGAAAGAGCCGGCTTTGCGGTGAGCTTAGCCAAAAGTACCGGCTCTCTAAAAAGACACGGAGTTCCCATCACTAAAAACAATGGATGTTACAAGACTTTAAAAAAATACGTGAAAATGCACATGCTTTTAAACATTCCAAGATCTGATCACATAATCTAGTTAGAGTGAAAAAAAATTTCAGCACGCTTTAATGATTTTTTTTTAGATTCAGTTTGTAATCAGGATAACTTCTCAGTAGAAAATGTGGGTGGCTCTTAAAAGAGCCTTTGGGTTTTTGAATAAGGAGTTTACTTAGAGCTGGTGTACTTGGTGACAGCCTTGGTGCCCTCGGACACAGCGTGCTTGGCCAGCTCACCGGGCAGAAGGAGGCGGACAGCGGTCTGGATCTCCCTGGAGGTGATGGTGGAGCGCTTGTTGTAGTGGGCCAAACGAGAAGCCTCAGAAGCGATGCGCTCAAAGATGTCGTTCACGAACGAGTTCATGATGCTCATGGCCTTGGAAGAGATCCCGGTGTCGGGGTGGACCTGCTTCAGCACCTTGTAAACGTAGATGGCGTAGCTCTCCTTCCTAGTCCTCTTTCTTTTCTTTCCTCCCTTTCCAGCGGTTTTAGTCACCGCTTTCTTGGAGCCCTTCTTGGGCGCAGACTTAGCAGGCTCAGGCATCTTTATCAGTGTGGTTAAACAACGGTAACGCCTGTCGCTCGATTTATACAAGCTAGAAGCAAATTTCACTGCTCAATCTCCCGCCTGTGATTGGTTGAACACACCAGCTGGTGCATAAGGGGCGGAATTCGTTTGTCTAAATCATGAATGAACGAAAACTAAATTAGAACATTTATTAACAACAGCAGCTAAAATGCTTAATCTAAATACCATCTGTTTTATGTTATTTTATACAGAAATTGCATGGTGGGAAATAAAGGTTGAAAAATAATTTCTTAACCAAAATAATATGCCTTTTTCAGTGTTTACCTATAAAGTTTAAAGTTATGATGCAACAAGAACTGAATATAATTTTAGTGAAACCAAATGTATTTGTAACACAACTTTTGAAAGTGCAATTTCCCTCTGGGATTAATAAAGTATTTTTGAATTGAATTTGAATTGAATTGAGTTGAATTTATGTTTAGAGAACTTCCAACTCTCTGTTCCAGTGGGGGAATTAATTGATACAACTTTTTAAAGCTGAATTTTATTTATTTATTTATTTTTTTGTGGCAATTTTGTTCTTTTTTAGGGCTCGTGGTACTCGGTGTCTCTTTTCTTAGGGCTAGGAGCAGATGCTTGAGGCCTTTTGTCCATCTAGGAAGCAGGTCAAACTGGTTCCATCTCACTACACAGAAACTGTTTCAGTTTGGCAGGAGGTTGAGGTCTATCAGAAACCAAGATCTTGAGACAAAAAGACCCTTTGAGTGATCATGGAAGAGTTTAATAATAAAATAAATACTCTTGAATTCACAATGGTGGTTCATAATCCTTGTCTGTAAAAAACAAGTGTTCATGTTTATTTATTTATGTGTATACATTTGAAAAAATGTTTACCTAATTGAAATGTTAATATTTGAATTACATGAAAAAAACCATATGATGTAACAAAGAAAAACTGTGTAAATTGTTTAATAATAAAGAATTATTTTTTTTTTGTTTTCTTGCTTTTCCACAGACATTTTTAAATCATAATTATTCAACCAACAAAAAGTGCTGCTTCAAAGAAAGTTGTTTAATTTTTTAAACAAATCTGTTTTCTGTTGGCAATTAAAGCAAGTCTAAAGAGTTTTTAAACTTAAAGCCATTGCTTTCAAACTGGTTTCAGTTATTCTTTAACCAGAAAGTTGAGCAGCTTCTCAAGGGACTGTACTCTGGCCTGAAACTGCACTAGACAACTTTGTGGTTTGGGGGCCACAAATAGTGATGTTATGTTATGAGTAGGTGGCTCAACTCTTGTATCGTTCTTTCAAATCCGAAGTGTTGGCAAAGACATGTCAATGCCTTGCTTTATTGTGTGTAAGACCACATGACTCTTCCAATGAAAGCTTCATGATGTTACATGCTTCGTGTCATTCTTGACTTCAGGGTGAGGAGGTTAATATGGTTAGTGGCAGAAATGTTTCTCTAAAGCAGTGATTCCTAACCAGGGGTATGCATAGTGGTCCATGAGCGCATTACAGGGGGTACGTAGAAAAATAAATACTACTGAGAGAGGGCCTGAAACCTCAGTCACATTGAATGCATAATGGACATGATCCAGTTTCACATAGATCAGAAATCATTGACTCTTTGAGTCATTGAGTCTAGACCCTGCATGGGGATTGTTAAAGTTAAAGAATTCACCTGAGCCAGACAGGAAGTGAGACGTGGTGGCTCAAAATGGCTTTGGCATCAACTTTGGACTATTTTGACTTGGACTTTTCTTCGAGTCAAAAACAGATAGAGGGAAATACATTTATTAAGAAAAAAGATGTTTTTGCAACTTCTTTGCCGAAGTATGACAGACTGCCTTGTTGACTGACATCCATAGCAGTGATTACGTCATGTTTGTTTTCCAATAGTATCCAGAGACAGTTTGAAAGACAACCTTGATCCAGACCATGACTGAGGGCCGTCAATGGACAGTGGCCAGACTATATATTCACATAAACATGATGGCTTGCCAGGCCACGAAAAAACAAAAGTATTCAAATGGTATTACAAAAGTTTCAAAATAGTAACCGTAACGGAATACTCATCATTAGTATTCTAAATACGTAACAGCAGTACAAGTATTCTGTTACTCCCCAACACTGTTGGTGAGTTTGTCACATCGTTTGTGGTCCAGTTGCACGTGGTGACAGAACCAGTTAACAAGGATGTATGACTGGGAGAAAGTTCTGTTGGAAATTTTTGTTCTATACTTTGGAAATGCTATCGCCGACTTATCACAATTTTGTATAAAGTAATATGCTTTTAGTTTTGTAAAATGTATGGATACAATTAATGTACTGCAATTTTATGTTAAGAATTTGAAAGGGGGGTGGGAAGTAATAAGTGTTAAACTTTAGCCCACTCCATTTCAAACAGCAGTGACTGTAAACATGTGGTGTGTTTTCTTTTTTTTTTTCTTTTTACAAAATGTTTTATGTTCGATATATTGTGCATTGTTTTTCTTTCTTTTTCTTTTTGTGCGCTTGAAATAAACCTAAAAAAAAATAAAAAACAAAATAAACCATATGCCATTTTTACAAGACACACCATGCAGGCAAATTGGCGTAATATTACTGCAACAGTGTGTCTTAATAAACGTGCCATGCTGGCATTGCATTGCGCAAATTTTGTGGTAGTCATTCCACCTCTCTTGGTAGTAATGTTGTGATAATTGTCTGTCTTATAAACGGCTATTGCAACATGGCCCACAGAAGGAGGTGTCATGATGATGTGGGAATTTAATGCCAAGCTCTGGCCGGCAAATATTTTGAAAATGAAAGTAAACGTGGGCAGTAAGTTTTGATTCTTGAACAAAATCAGCTGAGATGGCAAACTGTAGTGCTGCAGTGCTCTGTGAGCTTCTCTCTGTTAAGAGTTGAAGCTGCTCAGATCATCAGAGACTGAACAGGGATATGACAGGGACAGACACCTTTAGGAGCAGCTTGTTAAAAAAAAACTTAACAATCCCAGCTTAAATCTCAACCAAAAGCAAGTTATGTTCAAGATAAACAAAAGTCTGTGGCATCACAGAGACCGCCCCATACCTCCTTTATGCTGCCGTCGCCTAATCTTTAATAAAAATGACATGATTGCGCCACATTACCGCCACGGTTTGACCACTTATAAAAAACCTAAGGCTCCCTGATGCCACCACAGAGTTGCAGTAAATTGACGGCATTGTTTTGTAAAAATTGCTATAGATTCTGCCCCACGACTGACTTCTGTCTATGGGTTGTGGCCAGGATATATGTTTACATTTATAGGATGGCTTGCCAAGCTAGAAATTCACCAATTAATAAGGAGAAGTAAATAAAGAAAAGTACACTATTCAAACATTTTTATTTGAGTTAGAAATACCGAGACAGATATACAGTAAGGTGCTTCAAAAATATTTTTTCCTTGCATTTAACAGCTCTTGACAGTTGCAATAATGGTTTGTCATACAAAGCTAAACAGAAAAGTTTTAAGATGGCTTGCATAGTTCTGGAACCCATGTTTCATTTTTATTCATGGCTTTAAGTAGTAGAAGGTTATAATAATAGCTTATTGCCCATGTGTATCTACCATCGGCATACATATATCTACATGTACTTTTGTTATTATTTTTCTTTGGATTATTCTCTAAGTGTTGATGTTGTGGTTACAAGTGGTTACAAGTGTATTTCCCCACTGCTGGATCAATAAAGTACATTATGTTCCCTTCTGTTCTGTTCTGTTCTATTCTATTTTTTTTTTATTCTTCTTTAATTATAATCCCAAAACTTTCCCTTCCATAAAGATAACTATAAATCTTGAACCTAAAAAAGAGCTCAAATTCAGTAGGCTTCGTTTTTTATTTTTTATTTTTTTATTTTATTTGCACCTTATACACTTCCACCGAAGACATTCCACGCAAACACACACTTAGGGCCTTGGGAGTGAGCTCATTCAACGGCACTTGGCAGGGGGATTTCTCAGCCTCCTTCCGAGTGCCGGTGCCCACTTCCAATTTTAAACTGCACTTAGACACCGAGGGCTGTGGGTGCAAGTGGGGTGGTGCGGTGGCATCAGCTGGCATAGGCCAGACAATGCCCGCACTGCCCGCTCACCACAGCCATGGAATACACCTCATCAACACACAACACTATATTGGAGCAGGCGGAGGGAGACTAGGGGTCTTAGCACACCTCTGTTGTTGCTTGGCTTCCTGGGGCTGGAGGCTAGGAGGGAGATCTGGCCGTCTGGTTGCGGTCTGGGGTGGTGGGTTGCTGTGCTCGGCGTTGGGCGGGGGAGCCTGCTCATCAGCACCCCAGCAGAAAGGGTCAAACTCTGGTAACCGGTGATGGTTGTACCCAATGTGCAGCAGTACCAGAGTGAATAGGGTGTGTATGGGGAGCATGAGTGGGTGTCCGGCGTGCACTTTTGTAAGTCTTTGGTTGTATATACATGTGTGAGCATGAGGGAGGGTGTGTGACTGTGTTTGTGCATGACTGTATATGCCAGGTGGGGCCTTTGACTCCTCTCTTCTCCTGGGACTTCTTTTTATGATATAGATCTTCGTCTCCCCTTCCCCTGCCACACCTGGTGTGGTGCCTTGGTCTGCCTGAGTGTTCGTGGCTCCCGGGTCAGGGGGTTTAAGATATTTGGCGCCTGCCTAGTCGATCCCGATGGCTGCCTGGTGGGGTCTGGGTCCCTGGGCTCTGCCTGGGTCCCCGGCGGGGGTGGTCGCCCCTGGGTCCCGGGTTGCTGGGTCCCGGGCTCGGCCGACTAGGGGCGGGAGGCTGCGGGCGGGCCTGTGGGCTTGCCGCTGATATCTCCAGGGACTCTGCCGGCTGCTGGTTGTGGCCCCTCGGGGCGATCCTCTGTGCCTCTCGAGGGGGGAGGGGGCCTTTCTGTTGCAGTCTCCTTGGGGTTCCTGTGTTCTGGGGCAGCGCCTGGATCTCTGGGACTTGGAGCTCCCCCCGTCTCCTACGCATCTTAGGGGGGCGGATCTTTGGTCCCTCACACTCTCTATTGGATGCTCCTATAGAGAAACCTTACATAAACAAGCGCGTGTACACACACAGGTGCTCACATGGTGCTCTCAAAAGTATGGGCTTGGGCACGTTCAACACAGGTCTTAAGGCTGTCGTTGCCACTACATGCATTATGATTTATTATAATGTGATTGCTCAGTTAAACAATGTTGATTTTATATTTCATCATCAGGTTAACGCAGTGATAGCTTGCTCCTGATGTATTGTTGTGTGTCCCATTTTCTCTCTTCCTGCAGGTCTAGAAGTAGACTCGTTAATTATTGTTTATTTTTGTGGAACCCCCCACCCCCTTCCCCCCTCTCTCCCCACCTTTTGTCTTTTCCTTTCTCTTTCACCTCTGACTCTGTGTCTTGTCGGAATTGCAAAGCATTCAAAAACAATAACAATAAAGTTTTAAGTATCAGGCGTGACATTAAAAGCAGACGCTTTGATGCTCCACCTGAGAGTAAATCTGTAAGGCTTGTTACCAACATTCAGACATCAATTCTGTTTGCTTCACAGCCAGACAGGACATGGTAAAAAAAAAATTCAGTAGGTTTCTTAGGATATACTTACAATTTACTTTGATCTACTATAATTACTTACTAAGTATATGCATAGTTTACTAGTATGATAAAAATCAGATAAATTTGATATCACCTGTTTATCAATATCCAATATACCGATGTGGTCCAACCCTTAATTTGCCATACCAAAATAAATCAACACATTGTATACGGGTTCTCTCCATACAAAGGAAAACTAAATCATGTTAGGTAACGACATCACATTTATTCAATAATGGAGACTTAAATTTTAAAAATTACAAATTGACCACTACTCTAATTTAAGTTGGGATATTTTTGATAAAAAAAAATAAAAATATCTTTAAAACTTTACCTCAGATCTGCCACATATTGATATTTTATGTGAAAGGAGAAATGGCTGAAGAGTTTGATATGTGGTTAATATTTAAAAGCTTACTTTGGAAAAGTAAAAACTAATATCAAGAGTTTCTGATATTCCATTTGAAAGCCAAAATGGGCAGATAATAATAGTAGATTGATAATCAAAGGACATCCCTGGTTAATATGTTCCAAAAACAACAGGGTTTTGTGATAATTTGTGTTTCACAAATGCATTTTTTAATTTAAACAAGATTGATTAATTAATTAATTATTGTAATTAAAAAGTGTTTGTTTCACAAACATAATTTCTGCTGCATGTTGTTACTTCCAAAGGAGAAAAATCACAGCTGTGATACAAAGTGACAATGACACACTGAGTGTGGGTGCAAGTGTACTATTGGTTACACGTGTAGTGTTGGTCATATATATGGGTGTAGTTACAGGGGCAGTACTGGTCACATGTATGGGTGTAGTTACAGAGGTAGTACTGTTCACATGTATGGCTGTAGTTACAGGGGTAGTACTGGTCACATGTATGGGTGTAGTTACAGGGGCAGTACTGGTCACGTGAATGGGTGTAGTCACAGGTGTAGTACTGGTCATTAGTATGGGTGTAGTTACAGGGGTAGTGCCGTTCACATGAATGGGTGTAGTTACAGGGGTAGTACTGGTCATTAGTATGGGTGTAGTTACCGGGGTAGAACTGGTCACATGTATGGTTGTAGTTACAGGGGTAGTACTGGTCACAAATATGGGTTTAGTTACCGGTGTAGTGCTTGTTAATTGTGCTGGTGTAGTTACAAAGGTAGTGTTGGTCACATGTATGGGTGTAGTTACATAGGTAGTGTTCCTCACGTGTATGGGTGTAGTTACAGGGGTAGTGTTGGTCACATGTATGGGTGTTTTCATGGGTGTTGTGTTGGTCACATTTATAGGTGTAGTTACAGGGGTTGTGATTGTTACATGTATGGTTGTAGTTACATTGTTAGTGTTGTTCACATTTATAGGTCTAGTTACAGGGCTAGTGTTTGTCACATGTATGGATGTAGTTACATGTATGGGTGTTGTTACATAGGTAGTGTGGTTCACGTGTATGGGTGTAGTTACAGTGGTAGTGTTTGTCACAAGTACAGTTGTTTTAATGGGTGTAGTGTTGGTCACATTTCTATGTGTTGTTACAGGGGTATTGTTTGTCACGTGTATGGGTGTAGTTACAGTGGTAGTGTTTGTCACATGTATGGGTGTCGTTACATAGGTAGTGTGGTTCATGTGTATGGGTGTAGTTACAGTGGTAGTGTTTGTCACAAGTACAGTTGTTTTAATGGGTGTAGTGCTGGTCACATTTGTAGGTGTTGTTACAGGGGTATTGTTTGTCACGTGTATGGGTGTAGTTACATGGGTAGTGTTGGTCACATGTTTGGGTGTTGTCATATGGGAGGCGTTGGTCACATGTATGGGTGTAGTTACATAGGTAGTGTTGCTCACGTGTATGGGTGTAGTTACAGGGGTAGGTTTGGTCACATGTATGGGTGTAGTTACAGGTGTAGTGTTGGTCACATGTATGAGTGTTTTCATGGGTGTTGTGTTGGTCACATTTATAGGTGTAGTTACAGGGGTTGTGTTTGTTACATGTATGGTTGTAGTTACATTGTTAGTGTTGTTCACATTTATAGGTCTAGTTACAGTGCTAGTGTTTGTCACATGTATGGGTGTTGTTACATGGGTAGTGTGGTTCACGTGTATGGGTGTAGTTACAGGGGTTGTGTTTGTTACATGTATGGGTGAAGTTACATAGTTAGTGTTTTTCACATTTATAGGTCTAGTTACAGGGCTAGTGTTTGTCACTTGTATGGGTGTTGTTACATAGGTAGTGTGGTTCACGTGTATGTGTGTAGTTACAGTGGTAGTGTTTGTCACATGTATGGGTGTCGTTACATAGGTAGTGTGGTTCATGTGTATGGGTGTAGTTACATTGGTAGTGTTGGTCACAAGTACAGTTGTTTTAATGGGTGTAGTGTTGGTCACATTTGTAGGTGTTGTTACAGGGGTATTGTTTGTCACGTGTATGTGTGTAGTTACATAGGTAGTGTTCTTCACGTGTATGGGTGTAGTTACATGGGTAGTGTTGGACACATGTGTGGGTGTTGTCATATGGGAGGTGTTGGTCACATTTAAGGGTGTAGTTACATAGGTGGTGTTTGTCACATATATGGATGTAGTTACAGGGGTATTGTTGGTCCCATTTATGGGTGTAGTTACATAGGTGGTGTTTGTCACATGTGCAGGAGTAGTTACAGGGGTAGTGTTCGTCACATTTATGGGTGTAGTTACATAGGTGGTGTTTGTCACATATATGGGTGTGGTTACATAGGTGGTTTTGGTCACATTTATGGATGTAGTTACAGGTGTAGTGTTGGTCACATGTATGAGTGTTTTCATGGGTGTTGTGTTGGTCACATTTATAGGTGTAGTTACAGGGGTTGTGTTTGTTACATGTATGGTTGTAGTTACATTGTTAGTGTTGTTCACATTTATAGGTCTAGTTACAGTGCTAGTGTTTGTCACATGTATGGGTGTTGTTACATAGGTAGTGTGGTTCACGTGTATGGGTGTAGTTACAGGGGTTGTGTTTGTTTCATGTATGGGTGTAGTTACATAGTTAGTGTTTTTCACATTTACAGGTCTAGTTACAGGGCTAGTGTTTGTCACATGTATGGGTGTTGTTACATAGGTAGTGTGGTTCACGTGTATGGGTGTAGTTACAGTGGTAGTGTTTGTCACATGTATGGGTGTCGTTACATAGGTAGTGTGGTTCATGTGTATGGGTGTAGTTACAGTGGTAGTGTTGGTCACAAGTACAGTTGTTTTAATGGGTGTAGTGTTGGTCACATTTGTAGGTGTTGTTACAGGGGTATTGTTTGTCACGTGTATGGGTGTAGTTAAATAGGTAGTGTTCTTCCCGTGTATGGGTGTAGTTACATGGGTAGTGTTGGTCACATGTGTGGGTGTTGTCATATGGGAGGTGTTGGTCACATTTAAGGGTGTAGTTACATAGGTGGTGTTTGTCACATATATGGATGTAGTTACAGGGTTATTGTTGGTCCCATTTATGGGTGTAGTTACATAGGTGGTGTTTGTCACATGTGCAGGTGTAGTTACAGGGGTAGTGTTCGTCACATTTATGGGTGTAGTTACATAGGTGGTGTTTGTCACATATATGGGTGTGGTTACATAGGTGGTTTTGGTCACATTTATGGATGTAGTTACATAGGTAGTGCTGGCCCCATGTATGGGTGTGGTTATAGGGGTAGTGATTGTCACATGTGCGGGTGTAGTTACAGGGGTGGCATTGGTCACATGCGTGGGTGTTGTTATATGGGAGGTGTTGGTCACATTTAAGGTTGTAGTTACATGGGTGCTGTTTGTCACATATATGGATGTAGTTTCAGGGGTATTGTTGGTCACATTTATGGGTGTAGTTACATAGGTGGTGTTTGTCACATGTATGGGTGTGGTTATAGGGGTAGTGATTGTCACATGTGCGGGTGTAGTTACAGGGGTAGTATTGGTCACATCTATGGGTATAGTTACAGGGGTAGTGTTGGTCACATGCGTGGGTGTTGTTATATGGGAGGTGTTGGTCACATTTAAGGGTGTAGTTGCATAAGTGGTGTTTGTCACATTTATGGATGTAGTTACAGGGGTATTGTTTTTCACATTTATGGGTGAAGTTACATGGATGGTTTTGGTCTCATTTATGGGTGTTGTTACATAAGTGGTGTTGGTCACATGTATGGATGAATTTACAGGGGTAGTGTAAGTCTCAAACATTGGTGTAGTTACAGGTGTAGTAAATGCTCTGGCCTGTACGAAACATTCACCCACATTTCCCACTGCATCTATAGCAACCAGCTGCACAGTCCGTGAACAGCAGGATGAGTTGTAGGTAACTATGGTGATATTCTCACCCCCTTCTCCAGCCACAGTGCTGGTACTGAGAGTAACATTTCCTTGTCGTAGAATGATGGTAGTAATTCCAGTCCCATTGATTCCATATGTGAGATTGGCACTGATCTTCCACTGGACTTTCCCACAAAGGAGAATATCGGCAGGGCAGTAACCTGAGATATTGACTATCTGGCAGACTGGATCAGACATGTCTTTTACCTGGAAAGAAAAAATAATAATGAAAGAAAACTCTAATATGTAAATAAAAAATAAAATAAGGGAACAAAGAAAAAGAGAGAGACTATCTTCAAGTTGTTGTATTGTTGTATACATTGTGAAACTTATATGGTAGTACTGGAAAAAACAACTATTTTCAGAACAGCATAATGACATCATTTACGCGAAATATTTAAAAATCGTCACTGCAGCTGTCATTTATCTAAGGCTTCATAAGATTTGAAAATATTTGCCAAATGTGATTTTCTTGAGCTTCATTGGTTACGATGAAGCTGAGGAAAACAGTACCGAATTTTCTGGCCTCAACAATAAGGGTGCTTTGAACTTTCACTGTGTTCAAATTCAACCTTATAAACTGCTGCACTGGTCGTTTTTACCAATGTTATTTTCACTCACTGGCCACTTTATTGGGTACACCTGCCCAACTGCTCAGTAATGTAAACTACCAATCAGCCGATCACATGCTGGCAACTCAATGCATTTAGACATGTAGACATAGTCAAGACTGCTGCAGTTTAAACCGAGCACCATATTGGGGAAGAAGTGATTCAAGTGACTTTGAACATGGCATGGTTGTTGGTGCCAGAGGGGCTGGTTTGAGTATTTCAGAAACTGCTGATCTCCTGGCATTGTCACACACAACCATAGGGTTTACAGAGAAAGGTCCAAAAAAGATAAAACATCCAGTGAGCCGCAGTTCTGTGGGCAAAAAGGCCTTGTTGATGCCAAATGTCAAAGGAGAATTGCCTGACTGGTTTGAGCTGATAGAAAGGCAACAGTAACTCAAATAACCACTCATTACAACCAGGGTATGCAGAAGAGCATCTCTGAACACACAACACGTCAAACCTTGAGGCAGATGGGCTACAGCAGCATAAGACTAGGGCCCGACCGATATGCTTTTTTTGGGGGGCCGATACCGATACCGATATAAAACTTTTAACAAAGGCCGATAGCCGATAAATCTCCCTCACAAAAAAAATTAATACAAATGTTCTTAAGATTAAACCCTTCATTCTCTGCCTTTTTGATGCAAACTTATTTCTATATTACACACCAAAGAACTGTCTCAATAACTCACTAGGGTTTCCAAGTAATGCAAATAAGATTTATTTTGCAATCTCAAAAACAACAGAACACACAAACTACTACTGAAGATGAGCAGATGCTGCAGATGACATCACCAGATGGATCTTTAGTGAAGTAGGCCCACACCTTACGACCCTCTTTTTCCATCTGTAATAAAATAATCAGCATAAAAGTACAGTTATATATCTGTTGATACTAATACAAAATAAAATTCATTAAATGTGGCATTTTTATATTTAAAAGTTTAAAAATTATCATGTAAATAAATGATATCAGACATTGTGGCTCAAAACCAATGGCTCTGTTTTTGTTTGGTTCCCCAACTGTTAAGGTTTTCTCATTTAGTATTTGTCTTCCGTTTGTTGTCAGGTTTTTTATCTAGTTATTCTTCTTTCCCTTTTAGGATTCTTTCTTCTTTAAAATTATTTTCATTTATAGTTCCTCCCATGTTCCCCTGCTGTACTCTGCTCCCACTCACAGCTCCTCCTCATAACTAGTCCTCTGTCATCTCTCACTCCTCAGTGCATACGGTTCAGTTTCGGTCATACTGCTGGTTTCAGCGTCCTAGCTAGCTGATTTTTGGCATTAAAATACTTTTGAGTTTTACACTTTTGTGTTTTGATCTTTTCCAAAGCCGACAGTATTAGGAAAATAAAAATAAGATACGTTAAATTAGTATGTGGCAATGTATAAGCCTTATGTAAAATATAAGGCTGAAAAATACAATAGATTTATTCTATTGTAGAGAGGGATGTTTATTTTCTCGTATTACCGCCCCTACTCCTCTCCCAGCTAGGGAGGGGGGGGGGGGGGGGAGGACTCCCTGCACAGCGTTTCATTGCTTTGTTGCCAACCCCCCCTCGCCCGTCCTCAGCTGCGACAATGGTCGTGTGCTGCCGAAGCGCCGCGAAACGGGGACCACCTTCATTTGTCGTCCTTGTTATCCTATTCTACAGGCCACATGGGCCGCCGAAGCGCTGCATGCTCCGCCCGCACCGTGCAGCGATAGTTTCGGCGTCTGCACTATTTTTTTCGCAAGACTCGGGTGAACCGCGTGAGTTTGAAAAGACTGCTGAAGAAGAGCGGAGGAAACTGTCTTGAGAATATTCCAGAATGTCTACCAGAAAAAGGCCATTGTTACTTACTGTTACTGCCCTGCATGACTAAAGGGGAAGAAGCGTGAGCTCTGCATAGAGCTTAATGCTGCGGCAGTATTTATTTTATTTTTTCAGGTTAACTTTTCAATACGAGGCCACGAGGCACACAATAAACTTAGGAAGCATGTTGAGGGGAAACATACTTTTGTCATTGCTTATTTTACCGTTCAACTTACCACTGACACAAAAAATATGCTTAAAACTGAAGACTTACCTCCTACTTCCTCATCACCGTCGTCTCTGCTTGACTCCGCTGCTCCCTGCATGTGTGCTGTGATGGTGGCTCCACCCCCCGAGGAGTGGAGCCCACAACATGAGTTCATAAAGCTGACGCCATCTGCTGGATAGGTAGCGCTATATCGGCCATATCGGCTGTTTTTTTGGCCGATAGCCGATAGAGTTAATGACCCCTATATCGGACGATAATATCGGCCGGCCGATATATCGGTCGAGCCCTACATAAGACCACACCGGGTGCCACTCCTGTCAGCTAAGAACAGGTAACTGATGCTACAATTCGCACAGACTCACCAAAGTTGGACAATAGAAGATTGGAAAAATGTTGCCTGGTCTGATGAGTCTCGATTTCTGCTGCAACATTCAGATGGTGGGGACAGAATTTGGTGTCAATAACATGAAAGCATGAATCCATCCTGCCTTCTATCAACAGTTCAGGCTGCTGCTGGTGGTGTAATGGTGTGGGTGGAACATTTTCTTGCCACACGTTTGGCCCCTTAGTACTAACTGATCATCGTTGCAACACCACAGCCTACCTGACTATTGTTGCTGACCATGTCTATCCCTTTATGACCACGGTGTACCCATCTTCTGATGGCAACTTCCAGCAGGAAAATGCGCCATGTCATTAAGCTCCAATCATCTCAGATTGGCTTCTTGAACATGACAATGAGTTCACTGTACTCAAATGGCCTCCACAGTCACCAGATCTCAGTCCAATGGAGCACCTTTGGGATGTGGTGGAATGGAAGATTTGCATCATGGGTGTGCAGCTGACAAATCTGCAGCAACTGCGTGATGCTAACATTTCAATATAGACCTAAATCTCTAAAGAAAGTTCCCAGTACTTTGTTGAATCTATGCCAAGAAGGATTTAGGCAGTTCTGAACACAAAATGGAGTTCGACCCAGCACTAGCTAAGCGTACCCAATAAAGTGGCCAGTAAGTGTATATTTATTGATATATTGGTATATTTGCCTGGTTTAGATGTAAGTTTTGACGGTGTAGAACAGTGACAGCCTGCTACATTTGAGTGTACTTTCTTTATTTCCTAAACAAATCAGAACTATTACTTTTACACTTACTTTAGCAGCCACTGAAAACCTGAGGACAGTGTAGTTGATGTCAGTACCGTCTGCATTCTGTACATCGATTGTAAGAGAAACATCTGTCCCAGATGTAGCGTTGGCTGGAGCCGTTAGGATGATGGTGCCATTAGCTTTCCCTTCATCACTTGCTGTGATACTGACACTGCTAGGCGAAGTGCAGGGGAATTTCCGGTCGTTGTTGGTTTGCACACTGAATGTCCCTATTTTTTCTGAAGTTATGGTGAATAATACAGACACACTAGAACCTGGTTCCATAGTGAGGCTGTCAGTTTGAGCCTGGGAATGAAAAAAGCAAAGGAAAATAACATAGAAAAATTAGTAACAATTATTCTTGTTTGAGTCCCTACAAATATCAGATTTTTCAGTTGCCATATTTATTTACACAGAATTCAAGAGTTAAGAGTGACATTTTCACCAGCAACATATATATATATATATATATATATATATATATATATATATATATATATATATATATATATATATATATATGTATATATACATATATATATATATATATATATATATATATATATATATATATATATATATATATATATATATATATATATATATATATATATATATAATATGTGTGGGTGTGTGGGTGTGTGGGTGAATGGCTGGTTAGTTGTAAAGCCCCTTGGGGGATAGTAAAAACCCTAGAAGGCATTATATAAATACAGGCCATATACCATTTTATCTGTTACTCAGATGGCATCATAACAAAACAACTTTACAATGCTTCAACAAAATGAATGCATTTGACAAAGAAAGTACCATTTCCTTTGCTTAAAAATGATTTAAAAGAAGGTTTCTCAGAGCTCACAGTAACAGAGAGGCTGGAAGTCTTAATCTGTGTAGAAGCCTGTCTCTGGAACATGGTTGGCAAGGCCCTGGAGGTAGAGTTGGTTTCTTCTCCTGTCAGTTGGACCACATAGCTCCCTTTTGGAACGCCTGTGAATATGACCAGGAAGTCACTGTTTCTCAGTGACTGTAGATCAGGAAAAGGGCATGACAGACAGAACAGACAAAAATTAAAAATCATACAACATAGGCTATAGAGTAGCTACAAATAAATGTTCTGATTGTTAATATTTAAATAATTATTTCTTAACCATTATTGTTATGATTTGCCACCTGCTAGTAAACAGTAAAAGTGAAAGAAGTCGGGTAATATACACTTTAAGCATTACAAAAATTACCAGATGACTTGTGTTTTAAAGTGACAATGTGTAGTTTTTATCATTAATTTCTGGAAACATCCATTGAGATGTTGTTGAAAATGAAATAATTTTTGACCCTAATGGCCATAAGGTCTTACTCAAACACAAAAAATATCGCTTGCATGCTTACAATGCTTACATTTCACTTGATTAATTTTTTTCATTGACTTAGACATGTACTGCCCTCTATTGTCAGGGGAAATACACACCGTCACTTAAACACTTTCAGGTAGGATATCAATGTACATGTATTAACTTATCAAAGTAGACATGCCTGAATGGATCCATTGACTTGTGTAGGCCTGGAGCTGTCAAACAAAGTGACTTCTTTGGCTGTTACTGTGTCACTTCCTGTGACAGTGACCAGTAAATTGATGTTACCACCTAAAAGTTGAGAAAAGAGGCAAAAGAAGAAGAAGCAAGTTGAAAAACATGAACATGTCTCAATACAAGAAAATTCAACTGTCTTTCCAACAAATGAGATTAATTAATAGCAAGACGAGTGCAGAGCACCATTGCAGTCAGCTATGCAGCTTTAATGCCATATCTGGTAAAAAAAAAAAAAAACTGCTTGGATAGCTGACACATTGGTTCTAAAAAAAACTTTTGGCAAGTATATCTGAAGATTTAACTGTTGTACAATGTATATTTTCATTTCTATGTAACATTTTTGTGCTATTGAGGAAGAGGACACCCCTAAAAGGTGATATGATTATTTGGACCTGTAGAAGGACGGCCTTCCATGGATCTGACTTCCCCCTGGGCTCCTCCATGTGTATCAACAATGTTATACACAAAATTAATGGAACTTTGACCTAATATAAACATATGGAATAAAGACAGTTGTTATAATTTAAGAGTTTAAAGACCCTTTGTAAGACAAAAATCTAATTATATTACCAACCTGTAATCTTTACAGTGTAGGGACTGTTGGAGATGACATAAATTTCCCATAATCCTGTTTGATTTACAGTGTTGAGACTGATACGATGCAGGTTTCCTATGGTAGTGAAGGATGCTAGAGGACCACTGGAGTTTCTTGAGGTTTGAGTTACTCCTAGAAGAGAAAAATGACAAGATATAAGAACATGTCATATAATATAATATCAGGCTTATCTAATAATGTTACATGGTAAATTATCTCCCAGAGTTTTCATTTCTTATTTACACAACAGTGTAAAATGTTTCAAGCCAGCATGACACGTGTGCTCCTTAAAAATCTGTACTTTGACTAATTAAATAATCATTCAAAACAAACTTAGCTTAAAGGTGTCCAGAAAAATAGCCTGACCTGCCAGACTCTTCCTCTGTTTACTTCTGCACAGAGAACGAGTCTGAACTCTCCCATGCAAATAACCCCATTCCCAGAGAATTCTAACAATAAATACTTTACAATAAAGGTCCCTTTACTGACATTACTTAATGCATTATTAAGCATTAATAACCAAAGGTCTCTTTATATTAACTTTAAAGTTATTGTTAATTATTAAGTGTCCTTAACAGTGTTGGGCAAGTTACTTCAAAACTGTAATGCATTATTTATTACTTGTTACCCTCATTTTAAAGTATTTCCTTATATTACAATATTACTGATTTTAAAATGTAACACATTACACTACTTTTGCATTACTTTAAGTTACTTTCACCAGTACAACTTCAATATGAATCAGGTTATCTGACGCTCAGTGAGCTCATGACATATATGTGGAAAGTGATGTGGTGTCTGAGCTAGGACTGCTGTTAAAAACAGTCAGATATGCTTTAAAACGATTGTTTATTAAATAAAAGCAACAACAATATGTACTCTCAGCACGCTGCCATCTTATAGGGCCATCTGAGCAGGGAGTGAGGTGGTGGAGAATCCAAGCCTATATTTGCCTTGGTCCCCAAATGCCTTGATACGGCCCTGGATGTGGGACTGACTTCTGAGGTTATCTGATTCTATCACATGTATAAATATTAAATGTTTATAAATTATTGCTTTTCACTGGTAAAAATGTCTATTGGGGATACATCTACCTACTTCTTTTCTTTTCAAGCACTTTGTTTTGTTTTCTTGGTTTTATGTGAATAATTTCCTGCCCTCTCTCTAACCTTCCTGCATGCTGCATGTTTTCTCCGTCTTCCAGAAAAACTGTTTCCTAGATTTCCTACTTTCTAACAAATCAGCCAAAGGGATCTACCGAACGCAAAAAATAAAAAAGCTTAATATGCGCTGCACTCCAGCAGGAATGAGTTGAAATAACCGGGACACAGATTATGAACTCAGCTGAAAAGTACATGAAGTACCAGAGAATATGGGCTGATATAAACAATCACAAACGAATTACTTTGTTTTGATGGAGCGATTTTGTGAATATAACAGCGGCCGCGCGCAGGACGCAGCTGGAGTATTTGAGCCATTACCGCTGCGTCCTCTCTGCTCATAGAATGCCCGCAAAGCTGAGTCCATAAATGACGTCATTTATGTGGATACAGGATCTTTTTTCAGGCTTCCCGCAATTTGAATTTTTAGGACACCCACATCTTGATTCTGGGTTTAAAAATGCATTGTAATTACGGCGTTACTGACAATTGTCCAGAGTAAATATTACCATTTTCTTTCCCCGTAATGCCTTACATTACCACATTACAGTGAAAAGCAATGCATTACAGTAATTAATTACTTTAGTACTGCGTTACTCCCAACACTGGTCCTTAAAGGTTCCAGATCATGCAATTGTAAATCTTTGAAAACAAAAGTAGGCACAGTATATGATAAAATATTACTGTTGGCATCGTTGTTAATTTGGAAAAAGTTGGCAAGTAAAGCAGAGGATTTCCTCTGCAATACAAATGATGTTGCAGGATTTCAACAACAGATGGAGCAAATTTCTTGTACCAAGCACGTTACTGAACCTGTTGAGCTGGTCAGGCTAAAGCTGAGAGACGAGGCTCCTGTGATGTAAATGAACACGTTGCTTAGGGATGTATCGATGTTGAAGGTAAAATTTTTAGGTTGGCCTGGATTCATTGCCACCTGAAGAACTGTCACCTGGAAAAGAGGAGGAGTAAAGAAAATGCAGTGAAAATATAATTACTGCAGGGGAAATGAAAACATGAAACACATACTCAGCACAGAGATCAACTCTATTTGTAAAGCTCAGGCTCTCACCATAGCCCCGAGAAAGGAATCTTCTACAACAGTTGTTGCTGTAGATAGCTGCAACTTGCTGACTTCAATGGCCTGGCCTCCAGAGGCTTGAGCCAGATCTCTGTAAGGCTGAACATCTGACTGGCCAATGGCACGGGACAGCACAAGCTGAGGATCACGACGGCGCCTCCGACGACTGGAAAGAACGTCTGTTATCATAAAACTGACCTAAAAGTTTCAGACACAAAACATGCACTTAGTAAATAGAGTATGAAAAATCACCTGAGGGATTTACTTTTGTTTTATATTTCACCACAAGGGTCATCTCCATGCACATTATATTTACACACGTCTCACTTATACATTTCATCTGTGAAACTATGGTTTCTGTATTTGTGTGACTCACGCAGTCTTAGTTGCCCCTTTTTGGGTAATAATGTTTTTGCCCGTGCCTAGCCTATTTCATACTGAAAGAATCAGCGGTGCGGAACTGCAGCGAAACGTCTATGGAGTGTTTCATACCAGCCGTGACATGGCAATTCTCAGGCGAGTCCCAGAAGCGCAGCGCCGCTAAAGATTTGATCGGATTCTATTTTTGCCGCTAGCCACTTCTGGGACACATCGATTTCCGTGGTTAACAGGACTTCTTACAAAGTTTCAGTGTAAAATCACCAGTAATTTTCAAAATAAAAGTGCTGCAGCGATGCAATTTCGTAGCTTAAGTCTAATTTATGCATCTCCGTCAGCTCCGCAAGGGAGAGTTGCACACGCATCGACAGAGACGTTTTGCTCTCAGAATTTATTGTCAGCTGAGGATTGTTGCAACACAGTTCCCCGCCAGGACAGCAGAGGGCTTAGCGCTATTCTGAGGTATCCTGCCATCATACAGTCACATATCTGGTCCACGATAGTGTATCTACAATTGTGCTTACATAGTTTTATTGTATTTCAGAGACTTTTTAATGGACAAATTTGTCCCTTATTCCCCTCCATTTCTGAAACTGCTTAGGAATGAGATTCAAAGCTGTATTTGTTGGATTATTTGTGCATTAACTGTCCTTGATCACCTGGCTCCAGAGCTCTTTCTGACCTTTGAGTAACTAGAACCAACTTATTACAGGTGCTGGAAAAGTGAAATCTAAGCCCCCCACCCCTATTCAAAGTAGGTTTCCTTTCCAGTACCTATACTACAGCATTGAATTTTATTCCTAAGAAGTTTCATTCTAGGTCACACCTTTCTGCATCTAATCAACACAACGACTCATCGGGGGTAGAGAGGTGGGGTACCCAGAGTAGTTTCGGCTTGTTAAATAACAACAGACAGCTACAGTTTATAAGCTTTACTCTCCCATATTCCAGTTAGAACTGACAAAGCTCCTCGGATGAGAAGCAAAACATCTTCAAGAAACTAAAGAAGTCCAGTTGCCTTCATCTGAACCCCATGGATTGTGATGACCTGGACGACTGAGAACTTTCACCAGCATTTTGAAATCAATCTGTGTCCAGATGGTTGCCACAGCGAATCATTTTAAAAAACACATAAAAGGTTCGGTGGCTCGGGCATCTGGCTAGGATGCCTCCTGGACACCTTCCTGCTGAGGTTCTTTAGGCACGTCCAACCTTTAGGAGACCTAAAGGAAAGCCCAGGACACACTGGAGGGACTATGTCTCTTGGCTGGCCAGGGAACGCTTTAGGATTTCCCCAGAGGAGCTGGCTCAAGTGGCTGGGGGGAGGGAAGTCTGGGCCTCTCTGCTTAGGCTGCTGCCCTCGCGACCCAATCCCGGATATGTGGCGGAAAATAGATGGATGGATGGATGGATGGACAAAAAGATAAATTTTAGTCATACTCTAAATCAGTGGTTCCCAACCTTTTTCCCAAGGGACCCCGTTTTTTACCAGTAAAATTTTTGACGACCCCCTCCCATTCTCTCTTCCAGTACAAACAGTATTAATAAATGATAAAATTGTTCAAGCACATTTTAATATGCTTTGATTCAATAGATAACAGTAATAGTAGGCTCCAGTACAGAACAAAGTCATTAACAAAACCAAACAGAGCATAATGTGCTTGACAGTTTGTGTTACTTTTCTGAACACATTGTTTCTTGTAAACACTGATAAATCAATCATTCCTATCAATAAACGTTTGACACATAAAAAATACACTGAGCAAAATGTACTTAAATGTGTATATTACTGTTTATACTAGATTATTTACTGTAAAGGCTGTGATTAATCAAACAGTCCTATCTTTAATGAACTTTTGACACTTGAAAATAAAACGGTGAGCTGAGCAAAATGTTCTTAAAAGTGTGTTACTTTTTCTGTACTAATTATTTCCTGTCTTCATATCAGTAAACTTTTCACTCGTGAAAAAAAAATGTGAGCAAAATGTAGGCTATAAACAAGTAATAAATGAAGTTTTAACCCCTTAAAGTGGAGAGGTCCAGACGACCCACTGAGAGGCTTTGGCGCCCCCTTGTGGGGGTCGGGACCCCCAGTTTAGGAACCACTGCTCTAAATGACCATGCTTATTTGAATAAAAAATGTAAACACAATAAGTCCTTATCAGTGTTGTAATTTTTTATTCTGTTTATGTATCTTTAAAAGACAATTTGAACAGCAACAAAGACTAAAGTTAAGCTTAATAGAGACTTACCACTGATTTGGTGGTTTCTATGAGAGCTGTAACAGCATTTTTTAGATATAAATCCTTGGCTCCAGCATCGGTGAAGAGAAAAATATCAGACGATGGAGGAGCTGATGTCAGGGCAAGCTTTTACAAAAGAGAAAAATTGTAAAACATCAATGTAAAAACAAATTTCAAAGGTGTAAATGTTTTTGAACTTACTGCATGAGCATTTAAATACACGATCCAGTCATGCCTTACAAAATGTAAGAATTAAATCAGCTACAGAGCTGAAAGTAACACTTTTGATATAAAAACTTCAATGCCACATATTTTGGAATCAAAGTTATTGCATGTTTGATCATTTCTTTGAGAATAAGAACATGATTTGCATGATTTTGTACAATTTTAACACAGTTTAAAATGGTAACAACTAGTTTGTTGAGACTCTGAATGCAGTAATTAACACAATATTTGTATCTGAATGAGCCTCTTTTGCACACGTTTACTTATTACATATTTTGTTGTAGGAATGAAAAAGATTAAAAGACAGTGGTGCAGTAACGACTTTCAAGACAGAAACAAAGATGTAACTCATTTATTAAATATTTATGAACACAAACTATAGTTATGTTATTGTCTAGTTGGAAAACAAGTAATTTAAAGAGCAAGTCACCCCTACCAGAGTCTAACTCCACTCCCACTTAATGTTTGAAAAATGCAACAAATGCTGTTGCCTGGCAGACCGAGAGGGCGGAGCTGCTAACAAATACACACACACACTCAGGCTCACAACAGCATTGTGACATCATAATGTACCAGTTTACATCATAGCATACCTCTTAGCCAATAGCGGTGGCAGATTTAAATTCAAATACAGTGCAGAGTTTTTACCTGACAACGGCACAACACTGCCAGTTTTAGGCAGAATATTTAAATTTTAACTAAGATGCACTGAAGTGCCAAATTATTGACGACACGTGTCTGCAGCACGATTAGACACTCGTTTATTTAGTTTATCAGCAAAAAAGTTTATTTGGGGGTGACTTGCTCTTTAATGTCGGTGCAAGTAGCTACAGTAAGCAGTGTCCCAAATGCACAAAAGTTTTTGATTTTAGAATGTTTTTGTTTGTGTTTGTGTGTCTTTGCTTTACATTGTGTTGGCTCATTGAAATGTTAGTGATATTCCTGTAGTTTAAATCAAACGCACACACACTCACTTGCAGTCCAGACATGCTCATATCTGGAAAATCTCCACCTCCATCTGGAACGAGGGCGTTTATGACGGTTTTGAACTTGTCAGCATCAGTCGTCATGGTTACTGGTCCAAAATCTACTCAAAATATATATATATATATATATTGCACTGTTTTGAGTATAAACTAATCATGCAACATAATCAATGCAGATGCAGCATGGATCTTTTTTCAGCAAATTCAACAAATATGGTTTTTAATTTACATACCTGGATCATTGAAAGGCACTAAAATATATTCAGATGGCTCAAGTGATGTTCCTCTCCTTTCATCAATGATTTTAGCAGTAAGGTTTCTTACACTAGCGATGTCATCCCCCATACTGCCTGAGGTATCGATAACAAAACACAGTGCTGGGGATTGTGAGAGTCCCATTAATCTGGAAAAAAAAGACAGAATAACTTTTGAACCAACTGAGCACAAAGTGTCTTATTATAGACAGATTTATACCGGAGAAAGTTCTTGTCTCCAACTGCTAGTCTGATGTCCTCCAACAGCTCCAGAGTAGCATCCACAGCCAGAGTAGCTGCTTCTTTGTGAAATTTGCCATGATCAGCCTCTACAGAGTCCTTGTTGATACCCCCCACTGGCGCAGTTTTACTGGTCAGGTCATTCAATCCACCACGGCTGCATTTGCCTGGGAAGAAAATCATTATATATATATATATATATATATATATATATATATATATATATATATATATATATATATATATATATATATATATATATATATATATATTATATATATATATATGTATATATATATACATATATACATATATATACACACACACATATGTACATATATATATATATATATATATATATATATATATATATATATATATATATATATATATATATATATATATATACCTATATATATACACACACACACACATATATGTATACTGTATATATATATATATATATATATATATATATATATATATATATATATATATATATATACAGTATATACATATATATATGAACACATTTAACTACATCGTCTGTCAATTGTATTATATATTATAATTGATGTTAACCTAAGTCTTTATTTTGAAAATATCATAGTAGCCAAACTGCAAGCAAGCAAACAAACAAAACAGAGTAGCTTTTAAGTCTAACTTCATTTGTTGGTCACTAAATACCATATCATTCTCAGACGTTTTAATTTTAAACGTGTTATTACTTATTTTCTGTTTTCATGCAGAACCTTTTTTGAAAACAAGCAGACTGAAAATGAACCCTAACCTTGAAAGTCTTTCTATATTTAATGACTGTGTAGTACTGTTACCTGCAGGTTTGGCTGCAGACTTGGTGCTAAAGTAGCCTGAGGTAATAATATTTTGGCCCAGCACTTCAGGCAGAATGTTGTCATCACACATACCACCTTGACAGCCCTCACACGTTGGTGTTTGTGGGCCTGAAAAACATGAAAAATATGTTCTTAAGCTTATGGCTTCATAAATAAACATTGAAACTTGTTTGTAAAATGACCTAATTAAGGTAATCAAGTAGTTGCTGTTTTTACTGCGCCTCGACCTTACCTGCTAAGTTCTGCAGAGGTTCATCTGGTTCAGTCAGAGCACTGTAAGGAATGGTTTTTCCCAACTCCACCCAGTTGCTGTGACTATAAAAGTCCTACCATACAAAACATTTCACTTCATTTCCAAAGTAACATTAACAGAGTTGCAAACAAAAGAAAACAAAAAATTAGCAAGAATTGAATCAAGCCCTACCTGTAGAGTGTGAGAGATTTGTCCAAGAATATTTCTTGCAGCATTAAAGCTCCCTGTCTTCACATTAATCTTCACAGCAGACATGCCTTCAAAAAGAAAACAAGCACACTACTATGAAATTAAACCCAAAATATAGATGATCGCTTTACTGATGTTCATTTGTCACACCCAAATGTTTCTGATCAGCAAACAAACTCGTAAGATGACAGACAGTTAATATATACAGTGCTCAGCATAAATGAGTACACCCCACTACATTTGTCAGAAAACCTTTAGTTTCCTTTCAGAATCAACAGTTTCTATGAGATCCCAAACTACAAAATGCTCCCACAGTTGTGGATCATTGATTGCAAACAAGATTTGTTCATTTTCACACACAAAAAGTGAATTTCCTAACAAATCCATTCAAACCAATGTAGCAAAAATTAGTACATCCTAATTATAGTGTTAGGAGAAAAGCCACACTTACTACAAAATTTGAATTAACAAGCGTTCAACCTGTCAGGTTCGGTGGGCTGAGCTGGAGTGTGGCTATGAGACCCAGGTGCGGAGAGACTAGTGTTGGATGGTGACTGTTATGTGGCAGCGTGGGAAGTTCTCTTCCCGTACGGTTCTCAGAGTTCGTAGAGTTAGTGTTTTAGTTCTTAGAATGGGTTGGCGTCTATCGTTAGATGATGACTGAGTGCCGGCTCAGCTGTGACAGGTCCTTAAATAGGCTCAGCGGGATGATGTCACCGGGAAGCGTCGGTGACAGGGATGCTGGGAATTGGAGTGCAGTGCCAGCCAGGCCCGCAGAGGAGGTTAAGAGGAGGAGTTCATGACACAACCACAGTTGAGCATAATGATTGATTTGCAGACAAGTAACTATAAAAGGGCATTACTTAAAGAAAATAATTTCTCATTCATGCTGTCAGCAATGGCTCCATATGGAAGAGAAATGTCACAAAATGTGAGAAAGGAAATATTTTCTTTACACAAAAAAGTTGAGGGCTGCAATGAGATCAGCAAAGTTTTATCAGTCAAAATATACTGTAGCAAAAGTGATCCAAAACTTTAAAAAAGATGGACGTGCAACCATACAGAGACGTTCAAGCCGTCCACGGAAGTTAATATCTGGACAGGAGCGTCTTCTGATGAGAGGGGTCGAAGAGAATCGCCATTTAAGTTCACTGCAGTTAGCTAAAGCAGTAGAAAGCCACACTGGAGTGACTGTTTCCCGTGACACCACACAGTACACACTGCAGAGGAATGGCATGCATGGCTATCTTCCATGAAGGAATCCTCTCCTAAAGTCCATGCACAAAAAGGCACACATTTGGAACTAATGGCATTGTAAATGTTAGGATTTCAAAGAGAAATGCATGGTACCAGTGAAACATGGTGGTGTTGGTGTCCTTATGTGGGCTGCTGGTGTTGGAGAGCTGCATTTCATCGATGGTATCATGAAAACACAATGTACTGCTCTATACTGAAGGAGTTGGTGCTGCCATCACTCTGTACACGTGGTCGTCGTGCACTTTTCCAACACGACAACAATCCAAAACACACATCTAAAGCTACTGTTGCATTTCTGAAGAAGAACAGGTTGAAGGTGATTGAATGGCGAAGTGTGTCTCCTGATCTGAACCCAATCGAACACCTGTGGGGAATTCTGAAGCAGAAAGTTGAGCATCGCTCTCCATCCAGCATCCAGCCTCTAAAAGAGGCTATTCTTGAAGAATGGAAAAAGATAGATGTTGCAATATGTCGCCAACTTGTCGTCATACAAAATACCAGATGTAGAAGTTTTTCTTGTGGGGGGTATTCATTTTTGCTTCAACCAATTTTAGTGAAACTGAAGATTTTCTGATCTAAGTTATATTATTAACCTTAATTTCATGTTATGGAGTTAAACAAGTGTTCAATAAAACCCAGCTTTGTAAAAATTCTGGAAATTGTTCTTTTGCTCACAGATTAAACTAGTCCTTTCTAAAGGGGTGTACTCATTTATGCTGAGCACTGTAGATAAATTTAGTCCTTTACTGTGTTTGGAGGATTTTCTTTTCCTGAGATGTTTCCACGATACATTCTTCAGTCTGTTCCATGTCTGCCTCTAAATATCTCTTCACTTTTTGAAGCGGCAAAGACAGTGCTGTTGACAAATTTACAGGAAACGCTGTCCTGGCCAATCACAAGCTTGCGTTCTCCATCTCTTTCGATGGATAGTTAAAAATTAGGACATGTCTCCATCTTCCTCTGCGAGCACGTCAGAGGGCTCTTACATCTACGCATAATGGTGTTGAATGTCTCCGTCCCGATGCAGACAGAGGATTTGTCTTTAGGGTTTTACAAGCCCCCAAGGCATTTCACTACACCTTCATCCACCCATTCACATGCTGGTAATGATGAGCTACAGTGTGTTGGCACTACTGGACCCTCTGACCACCACCAGCAGGCAAGGCAGGTTGTGTCTTGCCCAAGGACACAACAGCAATATTCTCTGGGGGGAGCTAGGATTGAACCTACAACCTTCCAATTACTGGACAAGCTGCTCCACCTTCTGAGCTACTGCTGCCCTGTAATGAGAGGCACACCTTCCAACGTCATTATTACTCCATCAGCTTATCAGGCTTTTGTAGATTTCATCATGGTTGTTGTTGGGCCTTACCTTTTTTTTCTTCTTAATGTTGAATCATAAAGGCTGACCATAGCTTTAACTAAGTGAGACTTGTAGTGCTTAAGATGTTGTTTTGGGTCCTTCTGTTATTACATTTCTAGAACAAAGCGCTCTCTGCTATTTCTTGAGATCTTTTAGCCTACCTCATGTTGTTCCACTGAAGGGATTTCTCAATTCAACGAGCAGTAATCAAGTCTTGGTGTAGCTAGCATTATTAAAACCAGCTTTCCAAAAAATGACGCAAAAACAACATTTTTTTTATTCTAATGCATCACTATTTCACATAGACCAGGCTGCTTTGAACAGATTATTTCCCATAAGATTTATATTTCTGCAGGCTTCTTCATCTGACCTTGAAATTTGTTTGCTGAACTGAAACATTTAAGTGTGACAAACAAAGAAAAAAATAAATAAATAAAAATAAACATTCTTTTATGAGTCACATTATGATTATTTGTTATAACATTACACATGCACCTGATGTGATGAGGTCCCGACCCTTCTTAATGGCCTCATTGTCAAAATGATACTCCCCTACCATTGCCAGTGAGAAGTCAACCTTGGCATTGCTGTCAAACATGCTGTTAAGGGCGGTTTGCAGCATGTCACTGGAGAGGGGATAGGTGGAGGTGGGAGGGACCGAGCAGGCTCTTTGCACTTTGTTAACTGTCAGTGTGTCATCAGTCTGTGAACAAAATAGCATAACAATTTATTTTAGTTACAATTTAGAATTTAAAAACAGTAGAGAAATTCTTCTCACCAATAGAGAGCTTTATTTATTATTCTTTAAAATATGTTCTGAAGCCGTAATGTAATAATATTCAATGTATTCAGTGGTAAACCCATCCAAATAATGTATAGATCATTTAGGATCTGACAGAACCTTGTGGAATGCCACAAGTAAGTCTTTTAACATTTGATATATCAACACAAAGCTTTACATTACTAAAACCTGATGAGTAAAGAAATATATGTAAAATCATTAAACAAAACAAATGTCTGGCAAACCAAAATGTTCATGTTCTCAAATCCTGAATAATTCAGAGGTTTTTAAAGAGCTTACATCCAAACTGAAGTTCTTTCCCTGAACAGCAGTGATGTCTCTGCAGACCTCAGCTGTTTTCCTGAGAACTGCCTTTTGCATAATGTCACGATGAGTGACGGATATCCCATCCACAGAGAAGGTTGGCTGGAATCCATGAGTTAGACTAGACAGGGCAAGGACCAAAGCCACCAAAATATCTAAAGAATCTGTGGCCACCATGATGGAGCTGTAATGATGCAAACATATACTGATGAAAACAGTAAGCATGGGATAGGTGAGAATGTAATAACCCAAAAAAGAAGAAGAAAAAAAAGAACAATAAATAGGTAGGGCATGTTATGTATAGGTTGGGAGTAACGTCGTTTAAATATAACGGCGCTACTAACGGCGTTCTTTTTTAGGTAACGGAATAATCTAATTAATTACTTTTCCCACTGTTGCAACGCCGTTACCGATGGGGACGGAAGGCTGTGCGTTATTATGTGCTTGTCGAACGTTGAGCAACAGTGTGAGGCTTTCTGACCGCCACACTTCAGCTGCAGCAGGGAGAGAGAGGTGTCGGTAACGCACTTACAAACACCATGATGATTGGCCGGGTGGGCGGAGACCCTCAGTGTTCTCACTGTCACTGCCTGCTGTAGACCCAACAGAGCAGTGATGGGAATAACGCCATTTAAAATAACCGCGTTAATAAAAAAAATTCTTTCAGTAACGCGCAAACTAATTAATTACCGTCTTCTTTTAACAAAATGATCGTTTCTGTTACTGATAAGGAAATGCGTGCGTTAAGCAGCGCGGTGTGTTGAAGCTGTCATCAGCTGATCAGGAGCTAAAGAGGTAGATGTTTTCATCCAAGCGCATCACGGCCCGTGAAGAACGAGGAAGACGTGATGAATAGTCTACTGCTGCCCTTCTTAGCGTGACAACGGGACGTCCCGAAGGTCCGCTCAACTGTTCACCGCTCAGACGTCCTGATCTTCTACCTTCCTAGATCATCCAGTTGTAACCTGTTTCTGATCGTGTCTTTAGTCCCACTGTAACACTGATGCATCAGTCTCAGACGTCATGGAGCTCAGGTGTTATTAGAACTACCTGTGTGTGTTTACCACCCAGCTTCAGCCCTTCTGTGGTTGGGTCTGACCCAAGTTAGTAAATGTAAGTCCTCCATCAGGCTTGTGCCTCTTCTAGTGTCATTTTAAAGGATTTTATTTATTTATTTATTTATTTATTTATTTATTTATTTATTTATTTATTTATTTATTTAACCATTACAAGATTAGCAGCAACAGAAATGCTACTAATAACACACAGCTATGTGAAGCTGGAAAAATTAAAATGCTGTGCAAAATTACATTCATTTCTGTAATTTAACTAGAAAGAGAGACCATTTAAAGGCTCGGGAACCTTTACAGGTGTTTCTATTTGCTATTTTAAATTTTAGCTGATTGGGGTCTTGTTAAATATCACACAGTGACCTTTTAATAGTCTAGATAAGTGTAATGTTCCTGTTAGTAGTTCCTCCTGTTAAGTGCTTATTTATTTAAATTATTCAGGTTTATAAAAAACATTTTGACATACATTTCATTATGTTCCAATCATTAGTCATTTATATTTCACTATTGTAGTAATTCTTGCATGCTTTAATGAAAAAAGTAACTAAGTAATTATTTTTCTTGGTAATTAGTTACTTTTATAATCTTGTAACTCAGTTAGTAACTGAGTAACTTTTTGACAAAGTAATCAGTAACTATAACTAATTACTTTTTTAAAGTAACGTTCCCAACACTGGTTATGTAACACCAAACTTAAGCATGAAACACAATCACATAACTCTGTTTCGGTTGCTCTAAGCATACTGTGCAACACAGAGAGCTGATCAAACTGTAAAGATGTGTTTTCCAATGTTTGTACCTAATCAATGTTTTTTGTTCACTTTCTCCAAAAGTTCTAAAAATGCATGCAAATTTTGCACCTTACACCACAAGTTTCAAGTATGGTTAATTAAAGCATCATTTATTAAAGCACAGACATAACACATTCTGTGAATAATGGTGATAAAGTCAAAAAAGGGGATTCAATCTAGAGACACATATTGCTGTAGCTCACAGATAAGTTGTGTTTTATGAAATCTGGTTTAACAGAGTCTAAAGACAATTTTGCTCTTTTATCATCTAACACAAGAAATGTGATTAGATGAAAAGAAGTAACATTTCACATCTTCAATTAAATAAAAACTGCATAAACTGAGCTAAACCTTTAAGGAAACTGTATTAAACACCATGTGGAGGATCAGTAGGTTTTATCTATTAGTCTATTGAGATGAATAAAGATACATTTAACACAAATGCATACAAATGTCTTCCTTCCACGTCCTTTAAGATCGTTTTCAATACCATCGTTGGCTGCATCTAAATTATTGTGCATAAGACATTCTTTTTAAGATAATCAAAAATAATGTGAAATATGAAAAATTAACCTGTGCAAAAAATACTAGAAACAATATTAGACAAAATAGTCTCAGATAAAAATTTTCTGCACATTCCTACCTTTTGATTGTCTTCTTCTTTCTTACAGTTCAGTGTTATTCTGATACCTGAGCTGCTTAGGGGAAAAATCAGCCACTTTCCATCTTTATAAGGAGTAGGTGCGTCTGTGACTCATTTTACAAGAAATGTTGTTTCCTCGTTCATTGTTTTTGTGGAGGCGTGCACGCTCAAGCTGGTATCGCCCATAGGCTCAAATATCCAGGACACCTGATTTCTTTGTTTTGTCAAGAATTTTTGGGTTTGAATTTATTTATTATAAGCAAGTAAGCATCTAAAATCACAAAGTGACTTACGCATAGCCTTTAAAGATGTGCATGCAGACACAGTCATAAAAAAATAATTGCTCCAAGAAAACACTGAACTTTTGGGCACTGCATCCAATCTGCACCTCCACCTTATAGTAATAGTAAAAATAAATCAGTATAAATTTACTAAATTAAATGCTCGCTACAGGGGGCTCTAAACATTCCTTTGTAATCCAGGTGAGACAAGAAAGCAAAGATTATGTTGAAAGAAGTATCAGATGGAAAGCAGAAAGATTATATGCTAGATGATTCTCCTTTGATGGAGAAAAACGGAAATACAAAAGAAACAATTTTTTGTTCAAGTAAGTAAGTAAATAAGTAAGTAGGATGCATGCACGCATGTTTGTGAGTAGGTAAGTAACTAAGTATGCATGCAAGTAGGTTAGTTACTAAGAATGTAAGTAACTAAGGATTAAGAGTAAGTAACTACATATGTAAGGATGTAGGTAAATATTCATGTAATTAGGTGAGTAACTAAGTATGCATGCAAGTAGGTTAGTTACCAACTAAGAATGTATGTAAGTAAGTAAGGGTTAAGAGTAATTAACTACGTATGTAAGGAAGTAGGTAAACATGCATGTAATCAGGTAACAAAGTATGCATGTAAGTAGGTTAGTTACTAACTAACAATGTATGTAAGTAAATAAGGGTTAAGAGTAAGTAACTACATATGTAAGGAAGTAGGTAATTATGTGTGTAATTAGGTAAGTACCGTAAATAAGTATGCATGCAAGTAAGTTAGTAACTAAGTAACTAAGAATGTATGTAAGTCAGTGAGTAACTAAGTGAGTAATTTGCTATGTAAGTAAGTAAGTAAGTAAGTAAGCATGTACAGTGGGATGCGAAGGCTTGGGCAGCCTTCCCACTGTGCAACGACCTAGTTTGGATGTCCTACAGACGTGGTCTGGATCGACAGACTCAATATAGACATGATCTTGTCGTGGTCCATGGTGAGCTGCCTGCCAGTAATCGTGTTTGTCCTCTGGGTCTTGTCTGCACGTGGGCATGTCTGAGAGCAACCAGCTGCAGCTGATCTTGTCATCAAGGCTCAGGGGATTTAAGGAGCAGTGTGACACAACACCATGCCGAAGTGGCGGGCATTACTATTCCTAAAAGTAAAGGGACCATGAAGAAGAAGAATGTTCCATGGTGGAATGAACAATGTGAAAAGGCAGTTAAGGAGAGAAATAAAAGTATGAAAGTTTTGAGAAAGTCTCATAATTTTGACATTTTGGGAACATGTTACGATATGTGATGGCAGGGTTTAGTTGCAAAGGGAAGCCCCGGTTTAGGAATTTGTGTGTTATGTTTGGGGATTTGTGTGTGCAGTTTTGAAAGAAACGTACAGTTTTGAAAAACTCATTTTAGCAATCGAAAAAAACTGTAAGATTGAGCTTAAATTATATAGGGAACCTTTGGAGCAAGTTCATAGTTTTAGATATTTGGGTGTTATATTTGATGAAAGGTTGATTTGGAAGGAGAATATTAATAACATAGTTGAAAGATGTAAAAAGGTAATAAATATTATGAGGTGTTTAAGGGGTAGTGATTGGTGGCTAGTACCAAGGCTTTAAAACAGGTATATACTGTATAGCAATGATCAGGTCAGTTATTGATTATGGTAGTATTGTATATAGTTCCGCAAGTAAAACATTATTGAAGAAGATTGAAGTTACTCAAAGTCAGGCTTTAAGAATTTGTTGTGTAGCAATGAAAACCACACCGAAAGTGTCCTTACAAGTGGAAATGGAAGAGATGCCATTGACTCTAAGATTCAAGTTGCTGAAATTAAATTATTGGACTAGTGTACAAGGTAGTACTGAGGATGAGCATATGGTTAAGGGAGAGATGAAAGTAGGAGGGCAATGTTTCAATGGACAGTATGAGAGTATGGTTTGGAAATCGTGTAGATTGTCTGAAGCCTTTAAATTAAATTATATAGTTGTTCTTAAGAAATTTTTATATTCGCCTACTCCATTTTGGTTATTTCCAAAAGTAATGATAGATTGTCATATTCAAAATCATCCCTATATACACTGACGGGTTGAGAGAGTCAGGAAATTTAACAGGATTTTCTTTCTGGATTCCGAAATTTAGTAAATATCATAAAAGTCGAACAGCTAATAATCTGTCAGTTTATACAGTGGAAATGTTAGCTATTTCATCTAGTTTACAGTGGATAGAACAAAATGGTGTTAGGAAAAGTATTATTTGCTCAGACTCCATGTCAGTATTGTTATCACTCAAAGAAATGTCAGCTGATAAGAGGTCAGATATTTTGTATGAAATATTTGAGTGCTTGTTTAGGTTGATGAAGACTAATTCAGAGTTTAGATTTATGTGGGTTCCAGCTCACAGTGGAGTAGAGGGTAATGAAATAGCTGATTATTATGCAAAGCAGGCAACAAAACTGGATACTATGATGGAGGTTCCATATAGTGTTGCAGAGGTGAAATCAGTTATTAGACAGCAGATTCTGGATGAATGGCAAGAACAATGGGTAAGGGACATGAAAGGAAGACATTTATACAAAT